TTTTTCTGAACTGGCTTGACAGCTCTTTGTAATGGAAATTTCAAAATAACATTTATTTTTTTCCATTAGTAACGTGTATTAAACGACTTAAAAATGTATACTAGTTTTATTTCAATTAATTAAAGTTCAACAAAAAAAAAAGTATTTCAATTATTTTTAAGGTTTTTTTTTTTTGTAGTTGATGAATAAATAATAATATTAAAAGAAAAGAAAGAAGAAATAGTGACAACTGACAAGAGAAAAATGTAAAAACCCATTATTGTAAAATCAATACCTTCTCAAGCCTCAACATTGCATAAAATAATATCCAATTTAAGTGTTTTGTATTATTGATAGCTAGTTAACTGCTTAGGTGACATATTACTGTATTATTTAGTAATTACACCGACTTTGATTATAACACAATATATTATTTTGTTCGCCCATAAAACAATTAATAAGTACCTAGCTCGATATTGTCACAATAACGCTTATTTCAAAACACAATCCAACGGCCATTGTTATAACACTAGAAACGGGTAGAGTTAAGCATTCACTAAGCCCACGCAGAAATTTTATATTTTCCAATATTGTCAAATTGTTTTTTTTAATCACATTTTGGTATGAAATCGAAAATCGCACACACGGCATACATATTTCAATAATATATCCTCACCCAAACTCTTAAATTAAAAATTAATTTTGTATTTTTAATATTTTCTACCCGACCAAAAAAAAAAACCGTTTAAAAAATATTAATATTTTGAAATTTCTGCACGGACGAGATATAGCAATCGCAACAAAACCACTGAATTGCTTAACTTGGCGCCTGAAAAATAAATATGACTACAGCAACATATTGAGCCCTTAAGTATACATACAAAATTGCTTTAAATTTTGTCTGGAAAGTTCATTGTGCTGTCGCGGGAATGTACTAATTGCTCAATTAGTGATGATCATGCCACTAGTCCCCGGAAACTACATTATTGTGTCCTATATCATCGTTATTTGATTTTACCAACACGGCAGCTGTCGACAAAGCCAGAGTTGCTCCCCTTTGGGAAATTCTAATTGGGTATTAGTTAGTTATTCAATTGGATATAACCGGCAGGATTTGTGCTGGCGTTGGATTTCGGTCCCCGAGGAATCGATAAATACCTTACGGTTATTTCCTTACTGATCCAGTCGTTTTGTCAATCGTCTCGAGTAAGTAGTGTCTGCAACGCCCTTGACTAGACACGACCTAGGTTTAGCTTTAGCTAATTGTCCAAATGCCACACTGCAGCTGATCGTTTTTAAAAGCAACGAGGCTTATTGCACCTGACCCGACCTGCCTGACCTTGTCTACCGTTAGCTCGGCTGTTGAGGTAAATAAGGTAAATGTGAATTATAACCATCGAGTATGCCCGGTTGGAGATTAATTATTCAAAAATATAATACTGACGTTTAATAGACGACGACTCAAACGCGCCTGATGAATAGCCCTGATATGAATAACGCCTGGCCCGCTTAATTCAAATCACCGCTTGTATAATATTGTAGTAAAAAAAAAAGTTCTGTTCGAGCCCGTGTTTCTCGTCTCGGTGGTTTTCTCTTCGGCCGTACAGTCGGATGGTGTTCCGTCTGAAATATGATTTCTACATGAATTATGTAGAAAACATTAAAGTTACCTAACGCGCCGGTCGATTGGCATTATAAATAATTCATCCGCACTTATTCGGCTGTATTATTTAACGGCCGAACAATTGAATTATAAATATTTGATGGGGCCCTAACTCTCGGGCAATAATTCAGTTTTGTGAGCCAGTCAAGGTAAATTTGTGATTGCCTATTCCGCTTCAGCGGGCTTTGGGTCCGCCTCTGGGGGCAACCACACATTTAATATATAACATGTACGCCAAATGATAATAATAGAGAATCTCTCAAAATAAAATATTGCCAAGAAACAGACGTCATAGGTAATAAATCAATAATTATTACCCGGGTTTTGATTCACGCAGATCAATTCAATCAGACACAAAGGTATTATACCTTTGCATTATCATTCAACTATCTATCAACGACAAGTTGTCCATATGTTATGGTTAGGGAATAAAAGTCGATCATCTAAAAAAGCAATGGAAAATTATTTTAAAACCAATGAATGTATTACCTCAAATTATCACCAAAATGCCTTGAAACATATCCAATACAATATCAAGTTATGATCAATAAATATTTAAAAAAGTGTAAAAAATTAAATCAATATTTAAAAAAAAAATGTATAATACTTAAACTTGTTAAAACTTTAATTTATTTATAATTAAAAAAATATTACAGTTGTGGACAGTAAAAATACAAATCGCTACATTAAAATTTCATAAAAAAAAATACAAGATTATGACTTAAGAAAAAATAAATATAACTTATTTTATCGTAAGTTTTTATCGTAAAACATTAAGTATTTTTTCAGTAGATATTTAATTTACTTAAGGACAAAAATAACAATTTAATAGTTTTTTTTTTAGTCTCTCAAACGGCTTTTGACGACTTAATACACCATCGTGCTAAGAAACCGTTCGGTTTAACTAACATTTATAATCCATTTCAACTAGCCCGTTAATACAGTAGTTCATTTATTTTAGCCTTTTATACTTCAATCAATCATTACATCACATTAAATCAATGGACTTGATGAACTCGGTGAATTGATCGACTCGTTCAGCCTTGTTGAACGTTTTGTGTTATTTTGAGTAGGATAGGATGACTGTAATTAAATTCAAATCCTATTGACACTTTTAATAGCTGCTTACAAATGAATTACTAAATTAAATAATTAAAACGTTCAATTCCATTAAAGAATTATTGTTGATTATGTCTATGAACGCATTGCATTTGTATTTTTCAAATTTGTATGGAATAAACACTGTTATTAATATTTTAACGTTTTGATGTGGAACCAAAGCGCTTATTATACTAAAAATAATTGAATATTTTTTTTTTTATAATTTCTATAATGTGGCAAAAAACCAGGTCCATTTTAAGCATCTTTAATAGCTCGTTTATTGCGCCACCGACGGTCATTAATTGAATTATATATACTAACTCAATTACTTACATAAGTATATGTAATTCATTATCCCGTGTAATTTATAATCGATAATTAATTACCTATTCTTTGTGTGTGTATAAATAATTTTCAGTTCACGTTTAAATAATAGTAATGTTTATTTTTCCATCAACACAATTTTACAAATTAATTACAATTGAATCAATATCAATTTTGATCATCTCCTAAGTCAATTATGACATCTGATAATGGTATACTCATATTAGGCTTTGAAAATGTCTTTAGACTGTGTGAATAATACGCTTTTGGATATTAAATAGTGAAGAAAAATTATTTATATTTTATACATAATCCAATTTTTTATCTCTGCACATCAACCTAGATAAGGCAATTATTTTCATCGTGCGCTCAAGACATAGGGGTGCTGGATTTTATTAAGGCGTAAAATATAGGAAAGATTTCACAATATTTATTCCGGGAGCAATTTGGATCATGTCAACTTATTTTTGAGTAAATCAACATTATCTGAAGATAATGAAAATATTACTTTATTTTATACGGCTATTCTTACAATAGTTGTGACTTGTCTGGCCGTTTATCTACGATAACAATCATTTAAGCCGCGCATTAGATATTCAATGTTTTTATTGGGCGTTTTCTTTTATGAAAAATGATTAACTGTAATAATACAATTTTGGTTTTTTTAAAAATCATCATTCTTGGATAATGGGTTTTTGGAGTTATTATGTCGTCTCAAAGTTATCATCGAACAAGTCTCTTGTGATATAGTGTTTTATACAACATGTAAGATCACTTAAAACTGATCTAATAGATTATGACATGACTTCATCTAACTTACACTATGAGTCGGTAACGGTATAGGGACTCGTTAGATATCAATTATGTGCACTGGGAGGGAGGGGGAGCAGAGGGGCGGTACATTCCTGTTGATGACTCGGCCAGGGTTCCTAAATTGTTGTTAAATCCGGACTTGACTTTGACGATGGCACGTGAGCAATGGGCGCATATTTAGCATTGTGGGGCATACTGTATGTGCATCTGATGATGTCTACACACTTATATTGTTTATGGGCTTTATTGTGAGCGCATAAAGAACTCGGATGTGGCGCCTTCGGTTTCGGTGCCGAAACCGGCCGGGTGGTGACGGCGGCCACGGCGTCGGGTGCATTTTCTCCCGTTGCCGCCCACTTTCGCCGCCCGTCCAGGCCGTTAACCGGTTGTCTCGCTCGCCATCGCCGTCCAGTATCGACCCGGGGCGCGTTCTGTCGCGTACGCACCTAGCCCGGAGCAGTAGATCTTGTTTTTTTGAGTTTTTTCTAAGCAATAAAAAACAACAACAACAACAACAACAACATACACTCGTCGGTGGTCGGTTTTAGGTGTGTGCGTTTTACGTTGTACTAGTGTCGGTTTTTTTGGTTTTCAATTTTCCCCAGCATCGCCGCCGCAACGGTATGTCATCCCGGCGCATCCCGACGGCCCACCGCCGCCTTTGACAAGACACCGCCGCTGTCGCGGACATCGATGGGGGCGGCCGCACTGGCCCTGGCCGCGGCCGCGGTGCTCTCGGTGTCCGCGCGGACACTGTGGACAACGGCATCCGACGTGCCGCAGCAAAACAGCACGGCCAACGGATCCGCCCGGTTCTTCGATCAATTTCGTGAGTATACTTATTGATTGTTAGTTTAATGATAAATGATTTACGCTGATAATAATATAGCACGATTAATATTGATACCGCGTTGTGGGCGTTACGTAAAAACCTGAAGCTTATGTTTTTTTTTAAATATTATTTAAACCCTCCTTTGATGTATTAATTTTGACGGTCGACGGTCTAATAATAGTAACGATATCGGTGGGGAGCTGGCCGCCGACGCCGCATTAGAACTTTCTCCCGGACAGCAACGGCGGCGGCGGCGGCAGCGGTTACTCTTCTCCGAGGTGGCGGCCAGTAGTCTTTTGTTCGCCACCGTCGCCACCGCTTTCTTCCCATCTTTCTCTCATTGTGTGCGAGTCTATCGCGAGAGACTCAAAACTCTATTATTATCATCATAGTTATTATTATTATTTTATTCATTATTATTATTTATTATTATTGTATTCGAACAATAGACCCGGATCTACCATATACGACGACGGGTGACGACGCGACACGATTATCGAAAAAATCCGACCAAAAATTATAATATTTTTCGCGTTTTCCATCGTCATTGAAGGTGCCGAATAAAATGGCATGTAAGGTTCATACCGGCGACCTCCAGTGAAAGTGATCGTATTATTATTATACATTTTTTTTATTTCTACTATATACAAACAAACGAACGACGTAGAAAGTCGCGGCAAGGTAAACTGCTTAAGACAGTGATCGAAGAAAGCGGATGTGTATTGCGCAACGGCGTGGACATCGTGTAAGGTTATCGTCTGTCTCAATGCCACCGGTGCGGCCCGGCCACTACTGAACCGATAACGATAATATGATGCGTTATGCCGCAGCCGCCGTGATGTTGATGACCGCGGCGTTGTGGCCGACGGCCTTGGCGGACGAATCGTCGGCAGCGTACCACAGGCACCAGGGCGGCACCACCGGGTGGATCATAGCCGACAGCAGACGCCGCGGTGGATGGAGCTCTGGCAGCGGTACCGCGTCCTCGGTACACCGACTACAGCAGCAGCACTACGACGTGGACGACGACCGCCGGGATTCGGACAGTTGGCCAGCGGCCACCACGGCCGCGGCGTCCGTGTCCGACGTCCGCGTTCAGGTAGTGCACAACCGCGGCGACGGGTCGTCCTCTTCCGCCGTGGATAGCGATCAGGCGGCCTCGTCGTCCTCGTCCTCGTCGTGGAATTCGGCAAACCGGTTGCCGTACGTGTCGTCCACCAAGACGACCGCCGGCGTCACGGCCGCAGCGTCATCGCCCGCCGAAGCGGCCATGCTGGCCGAGGCGCTCGTCCAACAGCAACAGCACAAATTGCCGATCGGGCTCAACAGCTCGCTGACGGCCGTCAAGCACGCCGGCGGCAAAGGTTTCCAGACCGAATTAATGGACATGCTCGGAAAAAGTACGTTTTGAGTTATCTAATGGGTAGCGTAACATCCGCCGGGACCGTGTAATATCCGCCGGGTTATAATCGTTTTTTTATTTTTATTATTTTTTTTATAATATATAATATAACTATATATACAAACAAAGTAGATAATATAAATAAAAGGAATCCGTAGGAAGAAGAAGAACAACGAGTAAAACGAAGCGGTTATAACGCGCGCGTCGAATCGCTAGCGGAATTCCTGGTTAAGACGGTCGTGTGTATTTTTCCATTTTCCGGGATCGCGTTATAATCGTTTATACGTATACGTATACGTATATATCTGATGTTATACGTGAATAAAATATTTTACCGTGATTCCTGATCGGTCGTCGTCATCGTTAATTATAAAGTAAAATATAATATTATATATATTTTTTTTTTCAAAGTCAGCGTGTATTATTATTATTATTATTCATAGATAACAATAATACATAGTATACGAAAGCGGCCGTGCACCGGTTTTCACTTTCTTTCACTGCCGCAGCCGCCGCCGCACCTGCTCGTTTCACGGCCGCCGCATTCCTCCACGGCCGCCGCCGGTGAAAGAGAAACTACTCCTTTGCCGCCGCCGCCTCCTCCACCTTTGTCCGCCGCCTCCGCTGCCGCCGCCGTCTTCATGTCGATGGTCGTCTCGGTTCCGCGAGATTTCCCATCAACGGACAATATTGTCTTTACGGTTGGCGGGCAGACGACAATATTAAACTATTATAATTCATTCATGTAATTCAAATTAATTTTTTGGAACACAAGTGCTAAGTTATCAGAGCGTCGTGTGTGTGTGTGTGTATGTGTATGCTTTTGTTAGGGCGTAGTATGTGGACCGAAGAGAAGCGATGATTTTGTTTTTTTTTTTACATATATATAGGCCACAAGTAAAACGGAATGGGAAAAAAATACAAAAACGACTTTTATTATCACTATTATGTTCATTATTTTTATTATTCCAAGCGAAAGCGACCTCTCGGTTTGTTTGTATTAATAACAAAATAACATTGAACGGCCAACCGCAGAAAAGGGGACAGATACTTAAATTAAATGAATAATAAATGCCATCGCGACTTATACAAATACTGCTCGATTACTTTGAATCTACATAACAGTACCAAGCATAACGTCTTTCGCCGAAATAATATCTGAAACATTTTATTAAAACCAATATCTTGTAAACATCGAGCAAGATTTTTGTACACATAACGTTATAGCTTATAACACATAATGTTAAATATGAATATAAAACGTACTGACTGCAAAGGTGCATTAAGGGTTCTTTAGATTTTTTTTTTTTAAGAAAAAAATAATTATGCCGTAAAATCTTGTAGTTTTCTACATAAAAAAAAAAGTTACCGCTTTTACTTTAACCATTTTATTACCTCGAATAAGAAGTCTCTTAATGCAAAATGTAGACCTTCGCCGTGTTTACTTTAGGCAAACAAAAGACTACTGCTACTTTTATTGTACATAAAAGCCTGAAATCACAAACAAGCAATACATGCCATTGACATAAAATTATTATTTCCAACAATCATACAGACATTTTTTAATTTATTTTCATTCCGTTACCTACATTTGATTTCAATAAATGTGTTTGAAATTCCACATAAATATTAAATGTTTTTTTATATTTCATACCTCTTATTATGTTGTTTACATTGCAATTCTTTCTTCACTGCAAAATGCAAAGTGACAGGAGTTACTACCATATTTTAGAAAACATTTTTTTTTAATTTTAAGCGACTCAATAATTCATTAGCCAAACGATTCAGATTTTACACATAATTTTGATTAGGTCAATAATTTCACTTTCACGCGGATTATTTATTTGCTTATGATTTTCTAGCTTTACTATTGCCACTTATTTTTTTTCTTTGTGAGTAACGAGTTACTGAATTTTGATAAGACAGTAGTGTTATAACTTATAAGTGACTTCTAATTTGCTCAACTCCATTTTTTTTTTGTAAGTACATAGGTAACTAATAACTTGACGAGTTTCTAAATTATAGTAACTCCGCTTTGCTTTATATTTCACACATATATTATACATATATATTGGATAGAACGAAAGTGTTAACGAGCGGCTCCTCGCGGTTCCACCAAGTACATCTGAAAGTTGTTTATGATAATTTGTATTGGTCTGGTCCGATCGAAAACGGTTTCTTAATAATATATATAATTTTTGTTATTGACAAACGTCCGTTATGCCGTGCAGATACACTCGAGTGTGTGTGTGTGTTTTAGAAAGTGAAGAAAATAAGTGTAATATTACTATTATCGGTATAAACGAGCGCTTTCATATTGTATAATATCGCTTTCCGTACAGGTCTCGTAACACTGTCGCCAAACCGCACCGACTAGCTTAATCCGTATGTCCGTTTATTATAATTTTTGTGTGTATTGTACTTTTTTTTTATACTCTCAGCTGTTTCTGGTATATATATATATTTAAATAGTAATTAGGTACACGCAAGAATATGTATTATGTATTGTGTATATAATAAAAAATTAAAAAACATCTGTACCGTATCAACCAACTTCAAAAAACGTTCCCTCCGATGTGGCCGTTGTCGAAGGCTCGAGGTATAAAAGGAAAGAAAGTGTCGTTTTAGAGACGCTGCTATAGCTAAGACGGCCTCAACGGACAAAGAAAAAAAATCGTTTAATTAAATTTGATTTAGAGCCTCCTCGATCAAGCGATTACAAATGTCACTATCACCAACTGGGATATCAAACGATCCGAGAACTCCCCACCGTTCATTTACTTCTCCGACGGTTTCGATACGTGTCTAATATAGGACCACAAATCACAATAATTGACATTGACTGAAAATCCATTTTTAAGAGCTGATAATTTTAAGCCTTTTTATACAATTTGATAACCTAAATTTTTAACATTTGAATAAATCAGTCATAATTTAAAGAGCGAGGACATAATCTAGTAAGGATGAAATGAACATCCTAAGCCAAAATTCGTGGAAAACCGGAGCGATTCTTATATAACTATTTCCAAGTATAATTTTGGTCTATCACTCTCAACGTTATCTTGACATTTCTATGATATATTGTTGACTTTTATGTCTAGAGATTAAATCAATTATCACATCTAAATGTTTTTTTTTTTTTTAATAAATGCAGCTTTTACATTTTCATTTAGACTTTTGCCATTTGAGGGTTTTCAATTGTTTTAACGGTATTTGTTTTGTTTGCCTGTCCACAGTGATACCACAAACATGCTGGCATCAAGGCCGGAGACACGACTGCGGTCTTAGCTTGGCTTGTGTGCTGGACGGAGGACGGCCGCTGGACCTTTGCGGCGGCGGCATGCTGTGGTCGTGCTGCGTGCCCAGGTCGGCGTCCTCGTCGTCCACTGCCGGTTCGTCGTCCACGTCCGTGTCCACGCCCACGGCGGCCGCCAATTCCGTGGAGAACGCAAGTAAGTCCATACCCAAAGAAAAAAACCATTTAAGACTTTCGTCTGCGTTGTTCACGCGCGTAGACCTATACATTACTCAAGTACACGGTGAACAACACTTGTACTAAGCCAATCAACAACAGCTATAGTATGTCCCAACATCTTGTGTATGCATTTTGGAGATATATTGGATACAACTTAGACTTTTCAAGTACAAAAGCTAATAATAGAGATTTAAAGTTCTGCCTTCCCCCAGGTTGTCGAAAGTTCTTATTAATATTACCGCAGGGCACTGTTCTGAAATGTAACGAAAAATAGCAGGGTCGCTCGGCTATTGCTCACATTACCCAAAACGCTATTACCTATATACACAATATAATACAGGATAACAGGTCTACGCGCGTCGCGCCGGCATACAATAACATATTATTACTATACATTGTACGCGTTCACAGTAATTACAACTTTTAATTATAATAACATAACAATTATGATTGTTCTGCGACAATCAGAGCGTTGACAGCGCACATACGGTGTACAACACAATATATAATATAATATATTATAATATTGTCCCCCAAAAATACTTTTGAAGGGGCCTGCGTCCGTAACAAGCTCACAAGTGGAACGGACGCGGCCCCGTTTCATATATTATTATTATTATTATTATTATTTTGCCCAAGTGGTGTCACGTTAATGCATATTATATATGATATTATTTTGACCTTTTGCACACAAGGGCCGCCGTTGCCTAAAAGCTCTAGGAAAACGGCGAGGCAGAATATACCGGCTAGGTTAACCACAATATTATATTTTTATATGACTCGGTATATAAGATGCTATTTTATATAAGGCAGTATATAAGTTGCTATTATTTTTACCGCACATGACACGGTGCAAGTGCGGCAAACGAGGATGAAAATCGAAACGTAGTACGTGGAAAAAATATCCAATGGAAATAGTTAAGTGGAAAAAAAACAGAAAAGATCATGTTATTCGAATCTTATTTGTTCTATTAGGGGAAAACGTATACCTTGATATACTTATAATTTTATAGTAACAAATGTCGATGAAAATTTTCCACGAAGGCTGTAGCAAACATTGTTTTTTTATATATTTTATGGATTAACATTGCAAAGATAAATCCAATTTTATTCCCATCACATACAATAATTCACTTTTTACAAAAGGGGCCTCAGCAAATACACTTTTTTAAGGAACTGAACAATTGTAGCGTACAGCAAATATTATATACCTACAAAAATTATAAGTCTAAATTAAAAAATGGCTATTTTTCAATAAAATCATAGGAAATTTAATTTTAAGTGCAATTTTTTTGCAAAGTGTTTGCCATTGAAAAATGTGTTGAAAATACAAATTTTAAATTCGTCAGATTTTTCAGTAATTCACTTAGTCTTTACTTTTTATAAAGTTTTGCTCATTACCCTATTAACTTAATCTATATTGAGTAAGTCAACACTTGTTAATGTTGTACAGATACTTGATTTTTATTTTATATAGTTGAAAATAAAATGTAAATCTAAAAACAATCCAATAAAAGAGTTCTCAGAAACCTTTTTTTAACTGTCATTCTTTGTATGTGATAATCGTATATATTTTTAAATAACAATGTGTACTGTTATTATCTCAAACAGAAAATGTTCGCACTACACAGAGATGAGGAAGTCCCTTGACGTTTAAAATATTATAAATATGGAAATGGTATGCTAAAAACCAAACCTTATGAACCTTACACTCCGACCCTTTTACGTATAATGTATGCGCGTTCATAATAATTCAACATATATTAAACGTCCTTACCAAGTCCGTATGGACCAGGGTAGGACTGTTTAAAAACATTTAGTTATTAAAACGTTCGTTTAAAACTTGTTTAATTATTTTGTAAAGAAACAAAATTAAAATCAGAGCTTACACCGGCTCAACACAATGTCGTTTTTCTGTTTCAAAGTTGACAACTACACTGTTTTTGAACCACCTAAGCAAATCGTTTAAATGCAGAAATATTAAATGCTTACCTTAAAAAGATTTGAAGTAAAAAAATGTAATTCAATTTGTGCTTAAGTAAACTCGATTTATAATATTATTATGTTATTGTGCAATATTCTCTTTACCGAGTCACATTCATCGTTCTCTAATGTTAAATGCTTCTTATATTTTCCGAAAAGTCATTATTTAAGTCGTTTATAATATTTCAAAATCGTTGAATATCAAACGTCAACTAAAAGGTATTCAAACTTCCATATTAAAGTGTGTAAACTCGTCGGTTTTTTCAACTTGTGTGGTCTAAAATTTATAATTTTCGCGCATTTAAAACAATCTCGAGTAAATAAAGGAAAGATCAATATATTTTATCCTGATGTTTCTGTGTTCTGGCGTTTTGGTATGCTAAGGTGGTTGAAACGGTTCTCGGCAACGTTAAGCATTACAAGGATTGTTGGACTTTAGTTTTTATTTATCAATAGCAAATCATTACTGCGATTGGTGATGACTGAAAGTTCAGGCTTATCTTTGTGGTCATTACCAACGTCTGTATCACTCTCTTGTGGTTGTGTTGTATATCAACGTTGTGCCGGGGTCGTAACGTTATGTGACAATGTCAAATTATATGTCGGAACGATTTCCAAAAGAAATTATCATACTTATAACGAATGAAATAGTAATTTTATTGTCAATTAATTACACTATTCACACAATGGTGATAAGCGACTTAGTGTCATATTACCAAGTATTAGACTGAATTGTATTTGCTCTAATTCAGCCAAAGAATGGCATAAAGTAAATTGCATAGACTTTTAAATACTCATCCAGATCTTTAGAGTCCAAATCTTAGAAGTTTAAAAAGAGCAAAAACCCAAACTGTTATGCTTTGCATTGATTATTCTTTGTATTTTTAGTCCATTGAATTGTTTAATCATCCTCTTTATTATGTTTAATCATGTATTTTGCTTAATACCTTGTTAAATCCAATATTAACTTTAATAACAAAATCGCAAATTTAGTTCAGTTTAAAAAATCCAGTACAGTAGGGTTAGGGCATAATGGGGTTCATTTGTTCCCCAATCCACGTTTCGGAGTTCTAGTTTTCCCTGTTAGTACATTCAACTTTAAAGTATATAAGGATTTAATCTTTATGGAAAAAACTGCTCACAAGAAGTATAAGTTTTCTATGAGTTGAAGCCGACTTCAAACATAACCTTGTTCTTCTAAAAAAATTGTCTGTAACAATCGATCGACCAGTTCTTAGCCAAAACCGTTACTCTTATTGATTTACCTAGCTATGATATAGCTGATGCCGCTAACATGTGCTCAAATCATTTTCCTCGACTTTCACTGCCTACAGTACTCCACATATATCATCTAGTGTGGTGAAACTACAGTTTGCTCTACCTAATAATGTTTATTTCACTTTGGATAACATCTTAATTGAATTTTCTACGCTTTGCGGTGTCACGGATGATTTGTCCGGATGACCTTTTAAGCATCTTCTTATGACTTATGACTTATGTGATTGTTGGACCATTGTGGTTACTATTTCATTTATCCGACACTTTTTAAGCTGTGTTCCATCTACTTTTATGGTTTTACTCATACTTAACGTATAAGAAGCAATGGGTCAAGCTGCATGGCACACAGTTGACTGTACCGTTCCCTTTATCCAGTGTCCTCCAATTGACCGTCCTATCAATTATTAAATATGGATCTGTTAGATCTGTAAAATCAACGACTATACACCTATTTTCCGTGTGAAACCTGCCCAGCTTTGCTGATGTAAGCTTATGATTAACAGCAGATACCTATCTGGCATTTTTTCCGGCTCGGCAGACTCTTCTTCCTTGTTAGCTATTATTAATTTTAGAGTTCCTGCTCATCGGACAAGACATTTTACCCCTTTTCATGTTACATTCCAGTTTCCTCCAAAACTCACTTCTTGTTCGCTTTATGCGTCTCGCCAATGAGGATCTATCGTTTGCTTTTCAACAACATTATTTTGACCACCTTTACATTTCTTTATATATATTTTTTTTGTTTTGTCTTGTAAAAACTGTTGTTATTTGAATTATTATTAATTATGTCTTATTATGTATTATTGAACTACTATATATACCTGGGCTCTGTCAGTAAATTATTAAATGAATAAATAATGGGGACGGAGAATATTGGGACAGGGGAGTTTATTATATATGCAGACATTATAATAACTGAAAGTGATAAAATCACTTTTCAATAACTGTTTCGATGCTATATATGGTAGAAATACATAAATCGATAAAGCATTGCAAATGCTAAAATGTACTTATAGTTATATTTTGAATATTAGAGTGAATGAGATTAGGGTTGATCGTCTGTTTATAGCTGTTTGTTGTCACTGTTTGGTGTCTATAAATAGAAATAAATGAGAATATTTTCATAATAATCGTAGGTCCAGACAAAAAAAAATATATTCATTAACACATCATTTAAAAAAAAATACCTTTTCAACTATGCTTTGCATTCAATGTTATGCTAATCGTTTGTATAGGTACACTCTTATTATAATCCGACTGCGCTACTTCCGATCATGGTTGTTTCTATTTGTCAATGAAGATTCGTTCTAATGGTTCTAAAATGAAATTAATACAACTGTATGGACTTAAACCGTAACAACGTCGGGCAATTACAACCTGACTGGATGAACTCGCTCAATTATCGTTCAATTATCATCGAACCGTTCATTAAATTAAGTGATTCGATTGAATCGCTGGAGCATAAAAAATAAGGTGTTAACCGCTGACAGGTCGTCACGGTATAGCAGATGGATAATCGCTTTCACGAGATTATTCACTTCACTCGGCGCCTCGTCCAACCTAACCGGTTACAGCAATAATAACGTGCCACAATATCATTATTGTTAAATTTACCAACACCTGCCGGCTATAATACGGGTCCTGTTGTTGTCGGTGATACGATTTGATCGATTTGTCTGATAGGACTTGTAACCCATCGGATTTCCATATGATCTACACTCGTTGATAGTCTGAAGAACAGCTTAAGCAATTGCAGCCCCTGTAAGACCATCGCTGTTCCCGAGTCACACCTACACATATTATATCCATTATTGGATAACGGGTTCCATCAAAATTGGGTACATAACTGGAAAAAAATAAATCAGCGGATTATAATTTAATTTACCTAAGAGACAATTTAGTTATTTCATTAAACCGATTTACAAAACTTTAGTTAAAAATAATTAATAATAAATTAATATTGACTAAAAACACTGACGGTAAAACGTAGTGCAATGAAGATGTATAATTTAAAAAAATTCAAAGTTAGCAATGGTTTAGGTCGTGCTGGTCATAAACAACATAAACAAATGTTGTGTTACTAAATCAAACATTATGGCAGTTAATTAGTTAGTGAAAACTACCAAACTAGTAAACTTTTAATGTTAAAAAACAAATTAACGATTAAAAAAAATATCTTAATTAATAGCACTTTAGTTCAACTGATGTAAGCATAGTCACGCCTAGTGACAATTTTCATAGAGATTTAGAAGAAAAAAATACCACATTCTAATGAGAATGCAAGAACCAGAATAGGCATGTCTACCTTAAAGTAGAATATTTCTAGTTTAACCCAAGTCTGAGCTCATATTATGTACAGAACGTTTAGTTTCTTTATTTTTTTGTAAATCGCTACTTGGGTTGTAAAAATATGATGTCTTCACGTCATTTTTGTTAAAAAAACGTCGTCACTTCGTTAACGGCGCACAAGAAATGTCAACCGCCTGGAAATCTGATATAGAGCTGATGTGTACACACAGTGCTAGTTCACAGCCAAACGACAAAATAATATGATCATACTCTCAAAACGAGTGTAGTTTAACATATTGTGTGTAGTGACATTAGTGTAGTACATCAGACAAAAAACTTAAAAATTAATGTAACTATCGAATTTTTCTAATACATCTAAAATGAACGTTAAAATTACAACCAATTATTTCCTACAAGACAACTGCAATCTTAAAAATTAAGTGATTGATGATTAGTGTTCAATTGTCTACTATGCGTTCATCCAAAATGCGCAACCTATATCTGATTTCAACGATTATTATTTATTTATATATATAATTCCAGACCAATCTGAAAAATATGATTTTTATTTTTTATCGGTTCGTCATTTCAATAACAAAATAATGTTCACTGTAGTGTCAAAATAAAAAGGCGTTAAGTCCAAAATAGTAGACGGTAGTTTAATATTTGAGTCGGGCCACGACGACTTGACAAAAACCCTCGTGGACACTTACACCGGTGTAGTGTTTCTGCGACATACGAGTATATTATATATTATATAACTGTGAAAACAAACAGACGTTTTCTCATTTTGCCCCGCTCGAGTGGACGTCACGCAGCAACCCTACTAATCCGCTCCCCCCGCGTCTGGTTTACTGGACTTTTCGCCTGTCATCGTGCATTTGTGCAAACCGAGTTAAATTTCCATCGTTTAAACGAGACGACCGCAATGCAACGCAATCATGTTAATACAAATTAAAAAAAAAAAAAAAACTACAAAACAGCTACACGTTAGGTACTACAATGGCAGTATTATTGTTGTCGCTGTAGTTATTGTGATATTGTAATAATAATTTCTAATGGTATTTTATTTGGCTGTTTCATTTGTTGTGCGCCGGCCGACACACCCGGATTCGCCCCCAAACTACAGAATTATGATTCATGACCGTTCGAACAGTGGTCGGGGTTTTGTTTTGCCCGAGTTTGCGGCGACACGTCGTACCTCCTACCTTGTATCTAGGGAATTTCCACAACAATAACCGTAGTAGTAGTAGTAGTAGTAGTTGGTATTATTATTACACACTGTTTGTACAAACATTATATAAACCCAATTATCCTATATACCAGTAGACCTTAGCAAAGGTACATGTCGTCGTCGGCCGCGGCAATGATTCATCTCGTTTCTTTAACGGCGCAAAACTCTTGCTTGTATAAGTATGCAACATGAATCATTATGAATAACCGGCTTGCATAATAACAATAATAGCAGCGTACCTGCTGGCTGGCACAATAAAACAATACACCTATAATACTATACGTTGACCGAAGAAGAATATTATTAGTATTGTTAAGCCGTCTTAGCTATGATAATATCTATTTGCACCGCTTGTGTAATCCGCTACGCGACATCCGCGTTGTTAATAATAATGATATATTATTATTGCGAAATTCGGTCAGATTGTCGGTCGTTCCCAGCTAGGGGAATCCAAACCGTTTCGCAGTGACAACGATTATTGACAAGTAGTCATAATCGATAGCGGATGTACCTATTGTTATTCGTTTCCTGTTTTCCCGAAGGTCGGAGTCAACGACATTTTCTGGGATTCTTGCAAGTCCCAATGTCTTCAGTGACAGACCTATGCAACCGGCTTAACGCGTGTGCTAAAACCGTGTACACATCCAGCTCTCAAGAACCCTCCCCGCCGGCTTAAGACGATTAGTGCAGACTCGTGTAATTGGATTCGTATTCGATAGATCAATACGATACGTGCACTGTGCTTTGTCTAATAATTTCGCCAACGTTACACGTGACTGTGATAAGCTTCAATCGTGATTCGTGGACGTTTAAAAACGATTTACCTAAAAGCTCCGTGTCACCGACCGACACAGGATCACCGTGTACATCGACATCCGGGGATTATAATAAATGGTTTAGGATGGAAATTCAACTGAACCGAAGCCAATAGCCGCTGTGATTCGGTTAGGGTTGTCAGTTTGGTCGGGCTGGGTTTAGTTTTACTTTGAACAATTCGCATTACATTGACTACTAGATGTCAACTGTTCTAACCATCGAATTCTTATTAGATCATCAAGCGGATGACGCTAATGTTTTAACTGCAAACCGTATTTGCTTTTGTTCAGTCTCGTTATTTTGTTTCAAACTTACTTGAACTTCCTCGATTTACGAGTCTGTATCGTTCAATGTCTTATGCTCACTTCACCATAGTTGCAGACATTACAACAGTATCTTACAATTTTCCTTTTACTCTAAATGATACGTTTATATCATAAAACCTCCACGTTTTTAGGCTCTACTAGTAACGTGTTATACATTAACGTTGACAAAATATATAAATAGTAATACTGTGATGATATGCTGATAATATATTGTATAGTCTTTAAACATCCTTAGGTACAAAAACTTAAAAATATAACTAACACCATTTTCATATCTTGTGTGCAGCGAAAACAAATATGAGATTATGATGAGATATATTTTAAAAATGAACTCTACTAATACAACTCTTTATTGATAAGAAACCGGATGTAGATAAAAGTACTTCACTTTAAAATACCATACCTATAGTCACCGTATCTTGGATATAGAAAAATGTAAATTCTTGCACTGATTGAGCCGAGCTAAATGTCAGGATCATATTTTGAGTATTCCTCGAAAATATGAAGATTGATAGGAGGGTGGGGGTCTTTAATGAGGACAAAAACTGGGTCGTAGTTTTCGATAACATAACTGTACATTATATTATACATCATTGTGTATTATTGATGTGCTGCAGCCATGCAGTTTCTCCAGCAGTACTATCCGGGCTATATGGCCTTAATGCATCAACAACAACAACAACAGTCAATGCCCATCATGGGCAGCACTGCGTCTTCCGACTCGGCGGTCGATATCAACTATAACATTGTCGACGTTTTCGGATCACCTCAGCCTTCCACCTATCATCATTACGACAGCGGCGGCGGCCTAAGTCCTCCATACTACTTCCAACAAAACCACCACCATCAGCAGCAGCAGTCCCAACAACATCAACACCAGCAACAGCAGCAGCAGCAATGGCACACGTTCCGGCCTCAGCTCTTGCCTCAATCGTCGTTCTTCTTGTCGTCGACCACTTCGACTACGACAACGCACAGACCTCCTGCTCCACCGCTGCCTTCCGTCCAGTACGATACCGCATCGGCCGCCGCCGGTGAACAGCTCGTCCATCATCCTCCAGCCGGTTTCCGCGGTAAGGAGCGAACACCTCGACGGCCAACGTCCGCAAGTGCACACCAAAGGTGTCTAAGTCACCAGCACCAACAGCTAGCAGCTCTGTACATTATACCACACGTGTCAATCCTTATAGTGCACCCTTAGTATATCGAAAAACACCTTAAGTATACTCTAAAACACCATTACTGCACTTTTAGAAACTCTAGTTCATTATCCTCAGACCATCCTATGTCAGTAAATACGTTTAAAAAATGACTCAGAACATAATCTGAGAGCATTTGACGCATTTCTATTGTCTATGTATAAATCCATACTCCTACTCCACAGAAATACTTTGTTCCATGTAACGGTGGATTATAAAAATATTATATATTAAAGCAACTTTGTGGTGGTCAAGTATACCTGAAAGAGGTATAAAGTATTTTAAAGCCACACAATCGCACGAACAAAAATTACTACAGTAGTGCACATTTACGACATATGTCACGTGTGCCCATGTGCTATGTCGACCACCATACCTATGGTAAAAACAACATTTTCGATTATAGACCTTATGCATATTATAAGCTTTAAGGTAAGGCGTATGATTTCTACACGGTCACTCAGCACAAAGTAATGCCACTATGTACCACTACCGCACGCCTTGAACCTTCTGCATAGTATTATTATTTATAATATTGTTATTTTATCTTAGTGAATGGACACTCTGTGTGTATTAATGTATAAATAAATATATATGAATGGTGTATGTGTTTCAGGTTGTGGAGAGCTTTACGCCCGCAGTCACCGAATAGTCGGAGGGCACGGCGCCACATTTGGCGCTCATCCATGGCAGGTAAGTGTGCCTTTCCTAGACGAAATCCCATACCATCACATAATACATAGTGATCAATTACAATTTTGTAGTTTTTCTTTTTTATGATATTTTAGTCAATGTTATATTACAGCTAAAACAATATTTAAATCTTATCTTTTATTGGTAGTTCCTAGAGTTTTATCTACTTTTGAAACTTAAATTGTAACATATACTTTATTAACTTTTTATATTGAGAATAGTTTGCTGAATATTTTTACTGATCGATAACCAAATTTTAATTGTAATTTTTAAAGTTTAAAATGTAGAACGGGCGGATATTACAATTTAAATTTCACGAGTTGATAGAGCTATGGAAAATGCTACAAAGCTAAATATTTAGAAGTTTTAAATAATTGTAAAATAACAAAACAAAGATTTTTCAAAAAGAAAAACTACAAAATTGCAATTATTTATTTTTGAAAGATATTGAGTGTTTTACGTTAAATGTATCACCCTGTGTACATTATGTATTGTGAGACTTGGACTACGCTTTCTTAATCCTCTACAACCTCAAAGTCGGTCAGACCTCACACAACTCAACCTCAAGTCGATGGTCCTACGATTTGGTCTACCAAACTCATTAAAAACCAATATCGCATACTCTAGACTATCACTAGACTTTCTCTCCCCTATCCCCCTATCTCACTATCTCTACCCTATAAATCCATACTATTGTAACGTGTCAATTGTATCGCTATGCGAAAATTATTTCGTTGACCCGACGTCGTTGTTATCGTTACAGGCCGCCATCATCAAATCCGGGTTCCTGACCAAAAAACTCTCCTGCGGCGGAGCTTTGCTGAACAACCGGTGGGTGGTGACAGCGGCTCACTGCGTAGCCACGTGAGTATACTAGTCAGTCCGGGTTGACAGTAATGTGTATACACAATATTAATAGCTGTGCACATTGCACACCCACCGCGATTTTGTAGGGCATTATTAAGCGTCTAAACGTTCGTCACCGTCGTTGAGCTTGATAATACTCGGCGAAACCCGGTTGTGTTATGTTGAATTGAATATATATTTGTACGCTAACCAATACTTAACCCGGTTTGCAGCACGGCCAACAGTAACCTACGCGTACGGCTGGGCGAATGGGACGTTCGGGATACGGCGGAACGGTTGGCGCACGAAGAGTACGGTGTAGAAAGGAAAGAGGTAAGCAAGGTTCTCCCATCAAAGTGGGGTAAACCTATAGAGACTAGTGTACATGAACGTGAGACATATCGTCTCCGTCCACGCAAAATACACCAAGTCCAAAAATGGGTATAAAAATGTACAAATTGTAAAATGTTATATAACGGACTTAATTGCAATTTAAAATCACTCTTCAAAAATGTTTTAAACATAATTGGACTTGGGTGAGTATAGCATGATATGGTAGACAATTGTGCATTGTGCATTTTATTTCATAAGTATCTCGAAAACCCAAATTTTGGAGTGTTTTGCGTGAACGAGGACGATATGATACTTTTGAATAGTAGTCGGCTAACTATGACAAAGCCAACGTCTCTTTAATGTTTTATTTTAATAGGCTCGGTTTAAAAAATAACATAGTACGTTTTCCAATAAATTGCATACAAAATACCTCTCATTGTGTAATGCTTTACCAAGGGCAGGGGGGCTTTTTTCGTTCATCTCCAGTAGGCTATATTTGTATAAATCGAAGAAGAAAAAAGATAATTCTAGGTACCTTTAAATATGATGTTACCCTACTAACCACCCCAACTATATTCAATTAATTTTTATCGAATAGAAGATATTTTATTACTTAAACTACGGTTAGCAGTTAAAACCATACTTATTTTATTTGTATCAGGTTTTTATTTTTGTAAAATATATATGTTTTGGCCGTTAAAAATTTATGGTTACTCCAGTTATAAAGTAACTGGAGTGGATTAAAAGCAGGCTGTACTTCAGCGGCAGGTCTTAGAGGGTATCGGTGGGTTATTTAGAGACCGTTTTCCGGATAATTTTATTTAAAATTTACTGCAGTGCTTACTAACCAGTTGCAACGTTTGTGTTTTGAACAGGTGCATCCGCAGTATAGCCCGCAAGACTTCCGCAACGACCTGGCGCTAGTCCGGGTAGACGCCGACGTCGGATACAAACAGCATATCGTGCCCGTGTGTTTGCCCGCGCCCGTCGCCAAGTTGGTCGGCAAGACTGCCACTGTGGCCGGATGGGGCCGAACCCGCCACGGTGAATGACCCTCGCCCTTCCCTTGCAAGGCTGTCCATGGGTGCACCCTTACATGGTCGATCGAACGGACAATAAACACCACCACACTTAACTTTCTAACTTAAGACAGCGATTTCCTAGCCTACGATCCTCTTACAAGCCCTTACCACGTCTATCCCTCCTTTTTGGCTAGCTCTTCGACCTGTAACCTGTGATCCGGGTCCGTTCGATCGACCTGACGCGACCGTGAACTCAAAGCCAGTGTCTACGAGTCCGGCCACATTCAATAACGTCTGGTTTGTTGTTTGTATTGCAGGTGTATCCACTGTGCCGGCCGTGTTGCAAGAGGTCCAGGTGGAAGTGATCCCGAACGAACGCTGCCAGAGGTGGTTCCGGGCGGCCGGTAGACGGGAACAGATACACGACGTGTTCCTGTGCGCCGGATACAAGGAGGGCGGTCGCGACAGTTGCCAGGTATAGCTTCTAGAAAATTAAATGCCAATAAGAAACAGTAGGAAACAACGATACAAGCATTTTTCGATCGACTAGTGACGGGCAAGAGGCAGCGCTTTAGCGTCACTACGTACCTATTCGACACTTAACCGTCAGTGACAAATTTCTTTCTCTCTCTGCAAATTAATATTCCTCGTCTAATAGATGTACTGTTACACTCACGGGGAGCCCGACAAACTTAGTTCCTACGGACCAAAAGCGTTGTGTATACATGTTTGCCTTAAGGTGCATTACACTTACGGGTTACCTTGTTGCTTGTTTGCAGGGCGATTCCGGAGGTCCGCTTACCACTGTACTGGACGGCCGGAGGACTCTGATAGGACTCGTGTCTTGGGGCATCGGCTGCGGTCGTGAACACTTGCCGGGCGTGTACACCAACATTCAGAAATTTGTGCCGTGGATCGACAAAGTGTTGGACGCCTGAGGAGAGATGCCGGCCAAGTAACCCACCTCACCTCAATCCGAGCAACTTTCAGCCGAGTTTCGACATTTCCAGCAAAACGACGATCAGTAATATTATTGTTATATAATATAAATTATGTATATACATAAATCTAGTTTCACCGAAGAGCGTTGTTAAAGCCTATCGACACGAAAGTGTTAACCGTTGTACCTTGACTTGACAAACGTCGGTGAAACGAGATGATAGTGTACAAAACACGTCTACCATTAGTTTCGCGCTTGTATTTATTATAATATTTATTACATATTTTTCAAATATTTTTATTTTTTATTTTTATAATTATTTGTATTATTATAATTATTTTTACTGTCGGACACTTACCGATGTTGACCAAACAAACGTGCACTAGATATTTTAATTTACTTCTCTATTGTGAATATGTTTTTTACATTTTTTTTTTCTACATCTCTTTCCTTAATATTATAATATTTATAAATATTTATAGTCCGCGCACCGACCGCAATATTGTTGTATTTAATCAAAACAAAAAAATTATATAATATATTTTAAAAACCATAATATTAGACTTGTTTTTGGCTTTACTGACTGCAGAATGGCAACTGCTGTCAAGATCACAACTCCTTTGAATATTATAGATGCAAGGACAGAGACACGCTGTTTAAGAACTTTACTTAGTCTTAATGATTTTCCTAGGCTATTATTTCTTTTGCACTTAATTTATCACATTTAATACAACAAATTGGGTGTATGACAGCGTTTCCAGTCGGATAATGCGCTCTAAAGCTAGTAGACCATAATTGTTGTTTACTATTGTAATCAATGTGATCGTTAGCTTCAAGAATTTATAATTTAATACATCGGGTACAATACACAAATACTAATACAGCCTAACGTTTAACTCTGGCACTCCATTCGGAATAGGAACATCATACCAAACACTAGATGGCGCAACAGTTTAACGGTTAAACTTTGACCTAACGGAGCACACAGCTTTATAATAAAATCCAAAATATATCAAACGGCGTTCCGCATAGGCAATTGTGCTACACCGACGTGAGTGGCAAAGCGCATTCATCGAGTCATTGTTATATTGTTGTAGTCAATGATAATTTTCATGTAAACGATTTTTTTTAAAGCATTTTTTATTGAACAAAAAAAAACCAAACCATTTTCAGGGCTATCGCTGATTATTTTCTTTGAATCAAAGTTGCAGGCTATTGCTTAATGAAAAATGGTAACCGTACACGCGGTAGGTACATTGTTTATCTTTAAAATACCCACATTAATTTAATACAAATGTATAAAACCTGCAGTGCTACTTGTAATTTTTAAGACTAAGATGATTTAAGAGTAATGTTTATATATTTTGATTAGGTATATTTTAAGAACATAGCAAGATATATGTATGTGGTACCGGGTGCTAGTGTGTACCTGTTTATATTTTACTGTTTAGTGTATGGTCTTATTTAAATAAGGTGTACATTTACAACTGTACGTTACCGGTTTCGTTTATTGGCAGTAGGACATTTAAAAAGAGCAGTTGACTTAGTAAATAAGTGCACTTGAGAAATAAGTAAGTACCTCTATATCAATGATATTATAATCTTTTAATATAAAGGCCTAATTAAAAAAATATGTCTTAAGTAATCTGGAAAATGTTAAATTTAATTTTTAATTTGCCTTTTTTCAAGTAGATGGGTTGTACAATGTTTTTTATTTTATTTTTATTCTTAAAATATTTGCACAAGTTGCGGTTACTCCCACTTGAGTTGTTTGGCTGGTCTGCCAGCCACGTTTCGAAATGCTTGCACATTCCATCTTCAAGTATTCCGCAAGTATTTGCAAGTACTCTGAAACGTTGACAAACCACTCAAACTACTCAAGTGGGAGTCACCTCAAGTTATGTAAATACAATACCCGCTCAATTTTTAATAATTTGTTTTATCTTAATGTAATGCTTTTTTATTATAAACTTCTTATCTTTTCCATTTATGTCGAAGGAGTGCCATTTTATAAGCCACTATCATAATGGCTTAATCAATATTTAAGAGAACCCCACACGTTAGTTTACTGTTTAAGCCTAAAACTAGCATTTTTTTTTAATGCTATAATTTGTTTAAAATTGACGTACAATTTCAGGAATCCAAATTTTGAAATTTTTATCTCAATAAAATAATTAAATTATTATTTTAAATACATATTTATTTTTTATTTTTAACCGAATTAAAAATATGATTAAATCCGAAAATCCTGATAGTTAGTCAATATAAAAATCTGATTATCCAGATACTTTAGAAATTGAAACTGATTTCAGCCCCCTAGTTTACACAGTACATAACAAAAATGGATATACCATTATTATTGTTTTTAATTTTTTTCTTATACAGCTGTTGCTTATCCACGTTACTATAACAGTGTTCTTATATACACATTGAAACACCCAAGTTAAAAAATACTATTAAAAAGTAATGCGGTCATATTTACTTCTATTTGTTATAATAAGTGCTTACAAATTTAACTATTTTTATTTGTATATACCAGTATAACATATTATTTAATTTTGCAAGACAATTATGTTGATAGACAAAACAATTTTATCGATTTTTTTTTCAAAATGTTATGTATTTATAAAATATATTATATTGTGAATAAATATTGTAATTTGAAAACTGTGCAGTTATGTTAGATTAAGGGGTTGTGCGAAGCCTCCCACGAATTGGCTTACAAAAAAATATAGAATATGTGAATAAACACAGCTACCATTTCTGTAACTTAAATAGTCAAGTCGATTAAATGTTTTTAGGCTTTTGGGTGAGTTACCTGGGCAATGAGTTCATGGCTAATCCCGTCACCAATTCGTTAGGGATGATGATGCTTTATGTTTAAGCCAAAGTGAAGTGATGCATTCTTAACATACCACGAGACTCCTGCAACTATGTGCAGACATATGTTCTGAAAGCTTTGAATTTTGTTTGATGGGTTTCCAGAACCCCAGAAAACAATGGCATAATAACATAGCAGCCGAGGTAAATCTTTATAGTGTATTAATTTGTATGGCAGTTTTCTTTAGCAGAAGAAACCTAAATAGACGTAGTCTCGAGTTGAGTCGTTTGCATTTGACTTTTAAGCTAGTTTTGTACTAAGTGTTTTTTTCTAGCTATAAAATGTTTTTAACTTGGAATCATGATCAAAAACTAAGATTCTGAATCACAAATTGTACTTAACATTTCTGATAGACGGTTTTATCACACTCCAGTACAATTTTTCTAACTAGAAACTATAAATTGAATCAAAATTGTTTAAAGTATTATCATGTTACACAATCACAATTTTTAAAATAACAAGGAAGTAACAATTCTTATATTATAGTAAAGCAATCTCAATATATTACTGTATAGTCATAAATGTTAAATTAAATTTAGTTTAATCATTTTGTAAAAGTAGTAAAATATTAAATAGTTGGATTTTTTTAAGATATTGTAACATAATTAATACAAAGGTTAACCATACCCAAATGTATCAAAAAAAATACCACCACAATTAAATTACATAACAAAAAAAAATAGGTTTTTCTTAATAATCAGTTATAATAATTAATTATTCTTAATCTAAAAAACTTTCCGAATTGGTCCATCTTACATTTTTTTTATGCTTTACTGTAATTGTTTAAATGGTGTGAAATCAACTATGATACAGGTTTCCTAAAATATAGATTGTAAAGTAAACCTGTTGAATGCGCAATAATTTTCCAAAATGTCTTATTTTTTTAAATAAATGTAGGCACAAAAAATCTTTACTAAAATACTACTGAGAAATAATACAATGTTTTTTGAAAGGACCTAAACATTTTATATATATATATATATTTATATAAATGTATAAATTAAATATATATAATTAAATTACATATATATAATTTGCTTAATACGACTGAACAAAAAAACCTTAAATACATTATAAAATATTGTTTAATAGCGTACTGAATGTCTGTATGGCTAACAAATAGGGGGTAAACGGCCTAAACTCTAAATCATCATATCATTGTGTACGTATATATAATATAAATTATATATTATACAAATTTAAATACATATTAATTAATAAATATATATATATATATATATAAATAGATATATATTTTTTGTATATATAAATAAATAAAAATAAAAATTCTAAAAGTCTTTTTAACGGTTTGTACATAATAAAAACAATACCATGCACAATAATACATATAAGTATTATATCAATGTGCAACGTGACAGGAAAACAAGCTGGGTGACTAAAACGCCACAAAATACACCACACTGTTGTTATAACAACAACAGTCTTTGTATGTCACTTTTATAAAACAACCTATACGCTATTGAGGTCATACACAATTTGTTTGTATGTTCGTTGTCTGTCAAAGACAAGCGAGCATAGACGAAGTGGTTGTAGCGTCGTTAATGTACTGCATTGCCGGAGTCAATAGGTGTACGCCTACAATAACGTGATCGGCTACAGCAGACGGAGCAGCAGGATCTATAAACAGGCAACGACCATCAGCATGTAGAACGTCTAGTGGGACCGTGTAAGGCTGTACGTGCCCAGTCCACGAATGACTCTGTTGCTCTTGTTGGTAGTGGTGATGTCGGCCGTTGAAGCCGAGCGTTGATGCCACTTGTGGAGGAGTTGAGGATCTACCCAGGCCACCTGCGGTCAGCGTTGCCGTAGTAGACGAAGCCCTCGTATTGTCCCCGTGGGAGGATACGTGCTAAACACAAAAAATATAATATAATATAAAAGTCTTTTACAGACAATGATGGTCAAAAGAAATACCTGAATAGTGGCAACGAACGTACGGCTATAGCAGTCGTACGCCACTGTTACGATGTACACTGTGTTTTGGACGTACTGCAGGTGAGTGTAGAAACAATAGTCTCGCACGTCCTGCCGTCGGAAAGCATGAGTAATCGTGCTACCATAAGATATCATATCCTGATGGCACTACGGTCAAAATAATAACATTATCCTAAGAAATTAGTCAAAATATTTCAATTAAAGAGTGTTGCCCCCCCGGTGTCGCTTACTTAAGGGGTTTCCTAATGATAATTTTTGCCTAAAATGTAACTTTAAAAGGAAACGAAAGAGTCAATTTTTATACAAATAAAGAAGCAACTTTCCTAGGTGTCTACCAAATCGATTTCTATTTTTTTTTTTCATCTATGTAATTTGTTTAAAATTATTAAAGATATAATTTTAACTATTTTTATTCAAATCATAAACATGACTATGTTTGCAATTTTTCTAAATATTTTTCACAATTTTAATAAGAGACACCTCATGATAACCTCCGGAGGTGTCAACTAAATGCAATTTCTAATCAATACGGGAACTGATAAAAAATGTTGGTTCTGTAGTTCTAAGGTTAGGATATATTGTAAGAGCTCATTCGCCAATACTCACACACTCAAACAAAATTATATATTTATCCTTTTGTTTCTTAGCTTTGATGCGAGACTTAAGTAAATGGTATGAAGTTTTTACTTACTGTACATAAATGCACATAGAGTGTGGCCGAGTGCGAGTACCACAGACAGCCAGCCACTGGACACGGAAGCATGGTAGCAAACTCGGACAACGTTTGATGATGGTGATGGTGGTGGTGCATTTGGCTACCTGAATTATCAAACGACACCACACTACCGCCGTTAATACTATGCAACTATAAGAACAAAACTAACGTTAAAATATACTACACTATAATTAATAATGACAATATTAACTTCAAAAACCACAAACAATTAAAAAAAAAAAGCGGAAACGACTAATGTAATTAAAAAATATGGTTTGCTAAACAAAAAAGAAAGGATTTTATCTTTTATTAACTGAATGACTTGAACACCGAGATAATTAAATTTCAATACTCGTCTAAAAGTTGTTAAGCTTTAAACTGGACAAAAAAAAATTCTTTGGCCATTACCTAACAGTTGTTATAGAAAAAAATAAGGACAAGAGTATAATATATTGTTATAAAAAATAAAATATTATTATTATATGTTATTTACATGATGATCCGCTGCGAGCAGCCTAGACTCGTAGTATTGCAATGTACGTATAACATCTGAAGTATCGGGCAGGGGCATTATGCCATCATCTGCCACAGCATCCGCGCTGTCCCCGATGTAGTTTTGGATTTGCATTAGATCATTGTTTAGCAGCAACGACTCCTACAAGAATAATATTTGCAGTTACTATCAAGAATTGTATACATTATAAAATTAAAAAAATTATTTATTAAGTTTTTATACAAATATAGTCTCAACAATTAAATATGTTATACTAGGTACTACTCTCAAGGTATTACTTTTTACTTGTTGAACTAAATTTTTGGTAAAACATGATTGTAAAACTATAACTAAACCCTTATACAACATGAAAAACATACATCAACCACTAGCCTGTCATCACCATCAAACGTTGACGTGTCGCCACAACAGGTCGATGGCACTGTCATAGTAGCATCTACTGCTCCGCTACTTCCACCACTTCTACCACTTCCGCAACAGCCACTGTTCTCATCAAACACTGATCGAGTTGCTGATGATGACATCATTGTAGCCCACTTCTGATCAAAATCACGATGTTCACTATCAGTCGCGGATTGATTACTCAATGTATCCTCAGTTGCGGTCGACTCTACATCGTTATCTTCGAGGCACAATACTTGGGCAACTGTTGAATCATCATTGTCTGCCGCTACCAGATCTTTCCTAAAAAATTAAATTAAAAAACGGTTTCATAAAGCATGTAATACCCACTACAATTGCCCAAACTAATCTACTACTGTAACTGACTTAATTATATAAATTTTAAAACAAGCCAAATTGTAAGAAAAAAAAAGTTTTAATCAGTTTTAAATCACTCAATCTAAATAGAACATTTTTGTCATATTTCAGATTGGATTGTTAGGCTGATTTTGATTTTAATTATGTTTTTATTAAATTTTACGTAGAAATGAGCTATAGAATACAATATTCTCAAAAACCTATAATCAACTTTTTCTTATTGAGGACAAACAGCTTTTTTTTAATTGAATGAAATCCGCAGTTTTAGTTTTGGCTTGATATTCGATTTAAAAAGGTTTTAAAGAAAAATATACAAGACTAAATATATTTAATATGGTTACTTAAACAATTTAATGGAAGAATAATAAAAAATAATCAAATAAGTTTGGGTTTTGAACTCCGAGGTAGCATTCTAAAATCCTAGATGTTTTCAAATAAAATTGTTTTTTTTAAAATTATTTTGCCTATGATTTAAACTAATTTATTACAGTTGATTGTATCCGTGTAAGATTTTATATCAACTAAACATATAGAATTAATGTGTTACCGACCCCATACAGTCACGCTCTCCTCTGAGGCTAGCAGCTACATCAACATCCGCTAATTGTGGTATGTCAGGAAATGCATGCAAATCAGCAGGAGCGTAGTAACCATCGGTACTTAAAGAAGCTGACGATCTAGATGACGGTTCAGACGTTGAGGTTGATCTTCTACTACTCCAGCATTTACCCTACAACAAAAAATGTTACGTACATTCTTCAAATGAAAATGACCATACTATGGAATTTTCTATCCTATACTTTTTTCTCCATACAATATGTATATTGTCATTAGTGAATAATGAGGCTTTTATTTAATAAATAAAAATAAATTACTTTTGCAGGAGTCTTGCGTGAAGATGTCACCTCCAGGTTGAGCGGCCCATTGTCATACTGAAACATGCCAAGCATAAGACATGAAAAAAAAATTTTAAGAACAAAAATAAAACCAACACAATTACTCATTTATACTGTAAACACCATCATTCCGAGTAACTCTACTCCAGTAAAATTTATAATAATAAACTAGAGACCAAGTACATATTTTATTTAATAGACTGAGTAATAAAGGCAATTCATAGGCAATGAAAAACCTATAAATAACAAAAATTTTGATTCGTTAGTTTTTAAATATTATCAATCTTATGGATATAATTTCATACAGAAACTTAAAAATAACATGTATTTTAAAATAAAAATATGTGATATATAAAATGTGATTGAAGAGTAATATGATCCAAACAAATAGTAAGAAATAATAATAACTATCAGAAAAATTATGAAATTGTGTTGATCATAAAAAAAGGCTTGTTGATAATACTCATTAAGAGAGTAAGAGGGGAGAATTCATAATATTGTTTGTCAAGGAATGAAAAAAAAGTAATGTCTTTGTTCATAAAGTTAAATAGCCAAACAACTCAATGACCAAAGAATATTAATGTGTGGTTGTGAAGTATACCATGTAAACAAAATAAGTGTTCTAGCAAGAATTACTTAGGTTTAATTGTTGTTATATAATAATTTTCTATTGAATACAATTCCTATAGAGTTCCCAAAACAAATAATTCCATGAAACAGTATGTTTTGAAAAATAAAACAGAAATCAGTAGATTAAGTTATGTCTAATATTTTAAGTTTATTAAAGTATTTTATAAGCATAAAAAATTATTCATTGTAACTTTTACTTATTTAATTACTTTTAATTTTATTTAAGATTTTAATCAGTATTTATCTTGATTTATTGTGCATACATTTAAAACGCCTTCTAAAAATAAACTTTACACCAAATTGTATAAATGTACATAAAATAAGACTTATTTTATTAGCTTTTTAAAACTTACATCAATATGAATTGACATCCAATTGTGACGAGAACACTGTATTGTATAAAAATAACAATACCTTGTACTTGTATAAATGTGTATTTTATAATATTTCATACTTCTATTTAGTCTATCATTAAAATTGTATTAACTACTGGTACTTTTATCAACTGTTTATTGGAGCTTATGCCTATTTTGTATACTAAATAAATATAAATAAATAATACTAAAATACATTATTGCAACAAACTTAGAAATATTTTATTGAAGTATCGATCAAAGTAAAAAATGGACAATATATAAAGTGATATTTTTGATAATACACTGGTTTTAAAATGTTACAACAAATTAAGATACCTATTATGTCTTTTATATTCTTAGCAAAGAGCTAATACGATACAACAACTCAAAGCGTTTTGCACTGTTAAGATTCCATACAACCCAGTCACCACTGTAGAAATAACAAAAAGAGTCTATAAATAAAAACTATCGAAAAAGGTATGTACACAAAATTATTAGTTAAGTCGTAAACTTAGCGTATATATACCTGCTGGTAATAGTCGTAGTAGTAAGGTGGATTGTTAAGAGGTGTGGTTGACGGAGGGGTCACAGCCGCATTTGTTGAAAACCCCAAAGAAGTGGGAGTGGTGGAAGACTTAGCACGGAGACGATCAGTGGACAAGAGCATGTTCCTCAAGAGTTGACTGGTGTGTCTGGCGATTGGCGGCTGGTGATTGACTGAATTTGTCTTATTGGTGGCCAATACATGACTGCCACCCGGCTTAGCAGTCGAACTAGTAACGTTGGTAGTGCTGGTCACAACGGCTTCGTCAGACATCTACATCAATGTAAATTTAAATACAACACACTGATATTATTACACTGACAATATTGTAATATCATCATATTATTACTTGGACTACTATTGGCAACACTACTTTATCGCTTTTCGGAATCATTGTACTATTAATCGCAGACAGCTTGGCCGCCGTAGTCCTTCTGGATTGTGCTCGCTTGTTATCCGACCCAACCATACGCTTTGGCGTGGACGACGACGACAATGTAGAAGAACGTCCTCCGGTCTTGCTGTTGGTCTTCCGCGGCCTTCCGACGGCTCCTCGGCGTTTCTTGGCCATAGTTGGTTGTGTGGCCGGAGCAGAGTCGAAGGACGTTAAGGTCTCTACAGCGGACAACGGGACATAGTCGGCCGATATCTGTTTTGAGTACGGTTGACCAACAAACTGTTGGACAAACGGAAACAACAACAAAGCTCAGTAACGATAATAAACAATGTACAATGATATTGCAAAGGCTTTTGGTGGGCCGACGACGTGTATTAGACGCGACGGACGTTACTTAAGGAGATGAAAAGGCAAATTTTTCTTTTTTGTTTTGCTAAAATATTAACGACACACGAGTGACACGGATCGAGTGCGGACTCAGCAAAGGTAACTGGTGGTCGGACGTGACCCGCGGCCGCTCGGTGTCGCGGTTGGCGGTTGGCCGGCGGCCCGCTCGAGTTGCGGTTATCGCGCCGACAGGCAACCGGTTCCGAGGGCGGCCTCGTCACGGTGGCTAAAAATAAACTCGACAAAGCCTCGGAAAGTCCGACGGACAATCTCTATAGCGTTTACCGAGAAACGATCGCGGCCGGTTATCTCTGCTTGTAAATACTAAATAACCGATTATTATCGGAATCCGACCTGCGACGGTACGCGCTGGTGCGTTTGTTATTATCATAATAATAATATACGACGACAATAATTAATTATTATACTGAACGGCGATTAAAACCGACCCGTGCGGCGAGCACTGCGCAAAGATAATTTCGTGGTTTACCTGTAAGTCCGGCCAGCACGGGATGGCCGGTGGGGGTGACGGCAGGCGGACAGTTGCCGTGGTCAAGTTGAGTGCGGCTGCTTGTTGCGAGAACGGCCTGCACCGGGCGGCCAAGCCCTGGAGGAGTCGCTCAGCATCCGAAGAACAGTACGACTCCATGGCGCGAGATGAAATGACGGGCAGTCCGTCCGTTATCTTGGTCATCCCCCACGCATTACCCGGTTTGCAAGAACGTGTCTCCCAACATGGCGGTTCTATTTAAATCGATAACGCGTTTTCCCGCCAAATTACTTTTTTTTTTTTACAATCTACCACAAACAAAGAAGATTATCTAATTCTAAACTTAATGTATATATTATATACATATCATAATATTATAGTTTCGATCACAGGACACAGCTGCTATAAACAATAAAAATAACTAGCGCGATAGAATAAATAGGCACTAGCAACTACGATGTAATGGCGTGGAGAAGGAGTAGGATTACAATTTGCTTAATGAATAAAATAATAAGTACGAATATGTTAAAACTAACTTCAATTACATTAGTCCGATTTAGACAGTGTTTGGCTTGAGAAAAATGAGATGCTTAAGAACTGAAATATTTAGGATTTTGCCGCTCCGGGTATACAAATATTTACCTTTTTTTAAGGATTAATTTGAGAAGAACCGCGGAACTCGGGATTAAAAATCATAACATAATGTATGAGCATGATAGCTATATGTGTTTATGTAATATATTATAAAATATAATTTATAATAATGCAGCGCCACTTATCGGAGGAACATAAACGTTTTTTCGTTCATTTTTAGTAAATACAATTTAAAAATAAAATGTCTCGTTTTTTTTCTGGTATTAAGTTAGATGCAGAATTAACAAAATCAAAAAATAATTGTTTTTATAAATTACAATTATGATATATTTCATTATATGGATAATTGTTAATCCATGAAAGCTTTAACATATTCATAAAATATTTAATTTTCTTAAATGTATGAAGTCTGAACATTTAAAAACTATTGGTACTTAAAAAGTCTTAAAGTTGAAAAGCCCTGCATCTTTACTTATAAACTTTTAGGAAAACCTCATTGAAATTTTCATAGTTCACAATCTTTAAAATGGTACCTTTACTTTCTAAAAATAGTCAAATATCCAAACAGTTTGCTTGATATTAGTTTGCACTGCTAAAAAAAAAATGCACAAGTTTTTAATAATTATCAATAAGTTAATAATGCTCAGTACGATTTTTAAGTAAACATTTTTAATTATTCATATATTCTTAAATTTTATATCAAGTATATATGCAAATACTGTTACAAAATAGTATTGTCCCACGCACTTTAATAAATTATATTATGTATTTTATAAGGATCTTTAGTCATAATGCCCTTAAACACCGATTAGTCATATTATAGTGATTATTAAGTATTAAAATATATAGTTAAATAAATTTGTCCATTAAAACAAATATTGTTTAAAAAAAATAATACATTTATATTTATGATTTATGAACTATTGAATTGTTTTTTTTTAAGTATTACGGTTATTTGAAAATATTTTTTTTTAAATAATAAAGTAGAACAAAATTTGTTTTAGTAAGCCGAGCGAGGAAAGAACAAGTTTATTAAAACTTGGAACATATTAAGCTGAATGTGAGAATACACTTATTCTTGTTTTGAATAAACATTCCAAGCACTGAGTGTATGCACATAAGTGATTAAACTGTGTTAGATTTGTTTTCAAACGACTAGCAAATAATAAAACCCAATAGTCCATTTGTCCATAATTTAATACCACTACTGTTCCTTAGTACTATAAAATCACAACAAAAATGTTGGTTCTTGCTATTTGATTACAGCTATAACGTATTAATTATTATTATTTCTGTATCATCATAAAATATACCCAATGGTATAGTTAGGCTAATCGTTTTATTAGCTTGTGCCAAGTTCTACGCTTTATTGCTATCTATATGCCACCAGTGTGATAGACCATAATGGTTAACTTATATTAAAATATACCAATAGCTTTTAGTTCCATTTTAAGACCACCGCACCAGCTTCATAATATGTTAGACAATACATAAATAAATAAATATATAATATTACTTAAATGCATGAACTTGATAATTTTCAAGTCTAAAAAATGTGTTTCAAATGAAATTACTAAAATGTCAGAAATAAACTCACAAACTATTTTAGAACCAATATTATACTAGAAGAAAAAATTTTTTTGACTCGTCCTCAGCCTACAGTGGTTATTGAACAAAAATTTCAGCTAACAAATTTTTAGAAACACTTTATAACATGGTTATCTTAATTTCAAGCAAACTTATAAACCTACAGTCTTTGTAGGTGTAGTTAGTAAAAAATGAAGTATTGGTTAATTTGTATCAGATACAACTCTTTAGATATTGGCAGTCAATCGCCTATTCGCCAATAATTATTATTGACATAATGACATCAACTGAAAAAACCCAACTCAATTAAATGTTGAAAACTTTAAGAAAAAAACGTTTAAACAATATTTTACAAGGAATAATATCAATTATAAAACGTATAAGTAAAACTAAAGTAATGTTTTATTTACACATGCATTGTACAAAATTAACTTTATGCTTATAATAATCTATATTATACATGTTTTTATTATTTTGCTAACGACTTTAAAGTTTTTATTCGTTTCTAAGTAGGTAATAGTTTATGGAAATAAGTGATCTATAATTTTTTTCAATTCTTTTTTTGAAAAAATACCTTTTTACGTTAGAACTAATAGTTAAACACATTAAGAATCTAACAATGTTTTGAATACAATATTTTATACACTATTTTAAAATGGTACCTATAGCTATAGCTCATACCTATAGCTCATAAATATTTTTTACAATATTTTTTTTAAGTATACAATATGGAAATAAAACCAGTAAGTTACTCTTGTGAATGCCGATCGTGTCAATTATAAAAATTACCAATGGACGATAAAATCATATTTAATGAACCACTTGTATACTTAATTTAATATAATAACTTAAAAGCTTATCATCAGCCCATTGTGTACAATACATGGTAGACTTTTACTGGATCATATTATGATAAGGTAAAGACATAAAAGACAAATTTTTATATTATTTCTATATCAATTTCTACTTAACAATTCACGAGCAATTGATCTAATAATATTATGTCATGTAATCTTGTAATATCTTACGATAAACGATAATAGTAATATTATCGAGGAGTCGTTGTCTGGCAGAAACGACAGTGATATAAAATTGATTGTAAAAATATAATTATTAAAAGGTAACTATAATAATCCCATTATTTTACAATTTTATTGTAACCGTATAACTACAATCGGATAACGCTCTACAGTGCCCTCTCCCCCCCCCCACCCTCAGAAGTACCATAGAAATCACCCTAAGTTATATGATATATCTACACCTACAAATATATTTGTTTTGACCGGAAATGTCGATGGTCAACACACTTAATGAAATGATTTAAATAGTAAGAGAGAAGAAAAAATATGTGAATAACCGTTTTAAATTAATACAATGTGAAAAAAGCCTATAAAAAACTACTTCAAATATATATCCATGTTGGTTATGTTAAACGTTATAGAGGTATGTTATTGATTCTAGATATACTTCAGTCTAATTTTCAGACCTTAAAACTATCCAAAAAAAAAACGAAATAAAGAAATAGATTTTACTTCTAGAGAAAAAGGGTTTTTAATATTTTTTGGTTTGTCGACGTTTATCGATAGTACTTTATCTAAAGAATATTCCATACAATATGGGAACTACGTAATTCTAATATTGTTATAAGTTTTAAATTATACAACTTTTGGGTATTTTTCTAGGGAAAGGTTGAACTTAATATATTTTTTAAAATTCCGCTAACGTAGTCCTTCAAAAATATTATTAGATTCTAAGAATCTATGTTAGATGTTTTTCCTCTAAAACCAATGTTCTGCGTATGTTTAGGTTAGACAAAACGTTAAAAACGTTATTATTATGGCCGCTGTAATCATCTGATCAATCTGAAGAATTTATTGCCGACAAAGAATCCTCATTGCAGTGAGTATACACTTTAGATTTATCATTTAAGTTAAAACTAAGACTTTGAGAAAAATAATTGCCTATACCAAACCCCTTAATAAATAGGTTTGGGTGGCGTTTATCGAAAACCAATACCTAAACAGAAATACTTCAAACAGGAAACTAACTGATTTTTTCACTCTAAATTGGATTACTTTTTCTAAATCAATGCTTGGCTGATTTTAGCCATAAAAGAGTAGCTACAACCAAAAAGTGAACGAATAGAAAAAAAAACATACAATACCGAATATGTCTAATACATTTTAATAAAATATATGGGATTAACGTCTTTACCTAGTTACTTTTACAAGTTTCTGCTAATTGTACCTTTTTACCATTGGCGCAATTTTAGGGGGCGCTACATGCTAGACATATTCAAACACTTGAAACTTTAATTTAAAGCCTCGTTAAAACAATCGAAAAAGCTTAAATTTAGAGATTTACTTTTTTTTAGCTGGAAATTTATTGTTTATGAGATAACTTATTTTGATATTACTAATTCAAACTTGCAGAGTTTTGTAACTGATATCCAATTCAGACGTCAAATGTCGGAATTAAATTATTTTGTAAGACAGTATACTATTTAGTGTTGATGTGAAGTTAGTTGAACACTACCCAAACAAATATTCCATAATATCTTATGGATAATGTGGTTTTAGCTTGCATGTGTCTCTATTATCCTGTATTAGATAGTTATGCGTTATCTACAATCGTTTATTTCTAAACAACGTATAAGTACTGGAAATTGTGCACTTAATCACAATTATTGTATATTGTCAAAACACGACATCTGTTTCCATTGTGATTTGCGTGCATTACTAAAGTTTAATTGCCATAATAGCCGTGCACGCGACATACCTACGCCATAAAATTTCGTTTAAGAGGCGTTTAAAAAAAAAACAGCGCATCATGTTCAATGTTAAACTTCGTTCAATACGTATAATATGTATAATAATGTATTGTTATAATTATAATGAACATTTAAAGCAAAAATCGTGCAGCCAAATATAAATGTGTAAAGGCGGCTTTTTTCCGACCGCCTTAATAATAGTATAACTTAATTTTTCAACATAAAACGACCACGGTCGTTATCTAGACTAATTTATTCAGAAAATCTGTGGCGCATTCCTTCATTGCCGTCCGACAATCGACTCTAAGGTTATGAACCATTTCTATTTGTGTTTTAATTGTCGTTTTGGAAGAGCAGAAGTTGTCGATATATTCGTCGACTGCCTTTTGGTCGTCTATACTGTCTTTAGACTTTTTCAAGTTCAGCGCAAAGTGCAGCAGTTCGGCGTCCACTTCTTATGTTTCCGAAACAAAACAAAAAATACTTTTATTCATTTCCAACACATATGTAGTATTTAAATTTAAAAAATTGTTTATCTAAGATTAATCAAGATCATTTTTTATTTTCTACTTGATACAATTTTTAAAACTATACTAATAATAGTAGATACCACGTAGGCACCATATAACCGTAATGCATGCGTGTCTATGCCTATTGTTTTTTTTTTTTCATTAAGTTATCATTTAAACGAATTACCATATTGCGGATCGTTCTTTGCATATTGGAGAATATGTTTGTTTGACAAGCATTTGAGCGCCGACGCTTTGGCGGGCAAAAAGGACTGAATGGGGCTTCTTATCGGCTCGACCGACGCCAGACAAACCTGAAATATTAAGAAATTATTTATGACTTTAAACTTGAATGAACCCGTTACTATAAATTAAACATCGATCATAGTTTGTAATGATTTATTATAGCGTAATATTATATTGAATTATGTATTATTATAGTTTATAGTTGTATAAGAAACCGTGCGGTTAGGACAACACAATAGTCTAGAGGGAAGAGTCGGCTTGGACATTATTGAGACAAAGCACAACTATTTTCACACTGAACCTTCTATTGCACGGTCATTAGGAACCTAGCTGGTAAGTTTCTTCGACAAACAAGCATAAATTAGAGTCCAAACGGATTGCACTGAATATGAGATGCATTGTTTTGTACAAATAATTAATAAAGTATTTAAAACCTGAGAATTCAAGTGTCAAAAGAAAAACAAAATCAAAGTGGATCGAAACAGTGCACGCTGATTAAAATATAAGGAATACCCACTCATACCGTTTAACTTATCGATTATCATCGAATGAACAAACAAGACATAGTAATGATATATTCAATAAAATTTACTTACAAACACATACAATGCTATAACGATGACCTTCATGTTTGGAATGTGTTAAGTAAGAGATTGCTGATTGAGACTTAAAAGAACACTGTATTCCAAACAGTTTTTATATTAAATGTTATAAATCCACGCCATTTAATAACAATAATATAATAGTCCGCTTTTGTATTATTACCGTGTTAGATTTAATGGGTTAGACAATAATAGACATATTGCACTGTTATTGTATAGGTAAGTTAAATGCTGTCAAAATGAACAAATTTTCCATACAGCATAAAAAAAACTGTACAAAAGATCAAAAACCCGTCGCGAACAAACATGCCAATTGTGTATACAAATAAATTACGATTATCCGTCAGTCTTTTATATATTTGCAATTGGTCGTATATACAAATAAACGGTTTTTAATTTATTAAATATAATGCGCCATACATATTATGTAGTTATTTTCTATAATAGTTTACAGACAATATTTAAGGTGTCAATTGTCAAACAAAAAAAGCAATACTTGGCCATGTTAAAATATGATGACATAAATACGGTGGTTAAGATCTCCGATAAGAGTTGAATGTACAATGTCTATTGGATAAATAGACAATAGACACCATATTTACCTACCAAAATTAAAAATAGTTCACTCAGTTTCCTTGTTCTATATGAAAAATAAAAATATGTACAGAAAAAATGACAAATTTAAATATTCTGAAACAGTTTTGGTAATGGTTTTGACTTAACATATTTTTTTCAATGCCTGGGTGGTACTCGATAAAAATAAAAATGTATGAAACAATTTTTGAAAAACTGAATTGATCATATCGCTTTTAAAAGAATATTAATTATATACTTTATAGAAAGGGTTTGGAACGGAAATATAGTTGAAATGTTTTGAAATAAATTACTATTATTAGATAACTGTGATTGAATCAGGTGTGCGCGCTAAATGTGCTGGCCACTAAGAACAAGCTATGCCACCAAACTAAACAATAGTTTGATTTAGTTAGTTTGAATCGTAGATTCATTCAAAACTATGCGAGTCTCGTATACACATATATTTTTTCAAAATTTGTAGTACCTATAGTGAAAATATAATTTTTTTTTTAAAATTCGACGTGACAACAAATTAACCTAATAACATGTTTATGCGAAGAGCCATGCTAGGACTTGTGCGGCCTAAGCATTTGAGCAAGATGACGATGGTCAGGAGCACGTCCGCCGACAGTGCCTGTGCTCCGATTAAAAAAGGATTGGTGTTGGGTGTGTACAGAGGCTGTAACCCAGGAGAAGTGCGCATGTCTGACGAGGCACAGAAATTCGACCTATCCGTGTCTGGGCACGCCAAAGACTTTCTGTTAACGTCCAACATTGCTCGGCAGGGCGCAGTGGTGGCGCACAACCTGCACCCTGAGTTCTTCGCCGTGGCGTTCGCCGACATCGGGCCGTTGGACGCCGAATACAACAAGCTGGAGAACCTCGAGGAGTGTCTGGAATGGACGAGGACCGGAGCGGGTATCGGAGCCCGGGCACTGCAGGCGTACGGCGTCGACGAGATTTACGTAGAAAACATGTCCAACGACCTAGCGGCCGCCGAGGGAGCCGTGCTAGGCGCATGGGACTTTGAAGGGTACAAGGTGGCCGAGCAACGCACTAAGAGTCAAGTGATGCCGTACCAAGTCAAGAATCCAGAACTGTGGAAGAACGGTACAATTACGGGCGAGGCACAAAACTTGGCCCGGCACATCTCGCACCTGCCGCCCAACATTGGCACGCCCGATGGCATATCGGATTACGCGCGCGACGTTCTTTGTAAATGCGGTATTAACGTGACCATCCGTGACGTCGAATGGATCGAAGAAAAGAAGCTCAACTCTTTGTTAGCCGTAGCCATGGGATCACGTCGCACTCCGATGATGCTTGAGCTATCGTACTGCGGTGGGTTGCCCGACGAAAAACCCGCAGTGCTCATTGGCGACGGATGTACTTTTGACAGTTGGGGACTTTGCCTACGGAATAATCCTCATGTAGATTGGGGCATGTACTGCAAATCTGGCGCCGCGTCTGTGATTGGCACGATGAAAGCCATAGCGCAGCTCTCACTACCATTGAACGTGAATGCTCTGGTGCCGCTGTACGAAAACAAGCCAGGTGCTATGGCAATGAAGCCAGGGTCGGTCATCAAGACTTACGATGGCAGCACTACCGAGGTGCACCGTACCAACGTGGCGTCTAGGCTGGTGCTCAGCGACATGGTCGGCTACAGTACTACGCTCACACCGAACATGATCATCAACGTTTCGGCGTTGTCCATCGACACGCATAAGTACATCGACGGAGGCGCCATATTCGGGTTTACCATGGACGACGTACTGTACAACGAACTGGAGAGCGCGTCCGCTTCTACCGGTGACAGGGTCATTCGCGGTCCGCTGTGGAATTTTTACAAGGCCAAAACGCTGTGGCCCTCACTGGCCGACACCCGAGCGTCGCCCAATCAGTTTATAGGAGATTCTATGTCCGCTGCCATGTATCTCGAGAGATACAAGCCCAAGGGATCGGCCATGATTACGTTGGACATTGGAGGATCGTCATTTCTCAGAAGCCCCAAACCGGAACACTACCTTAGACCAGAAAGAATGACTGGTAGTCCGGTGCGTACCATCGTTCAATTTTTGAAACAAACCGCCTGCCCCAACGACAAGAGACCATCGTGTTGATGATGAGAACATTTTTAATGCAAAATTATAACGTCTATTTTAATCTGGAATTGGCTGGCTGTACTAGTAAACAAGAGTAATTAACACAAGAATTTAAACACAACTATAAGAACAATAAATTTAAGGGACAAATTGTATGTAACAGCTCCATTTTTTCTGACTTTGAAACTCGTTATTTATAGTTTTGTTGCGATTTAGTTTGGACACGATATAAGTGATACTTAGTAAGGGGTTATACACTTTCTACGTCTTCGGGCGTCTGTATTATATCCCACCAACACCTAGACTCGAGTGTAAAGGAACATAAATCCCTCACTGATATAGGTGCAACTGATATAGGATAACCAAAGGCCATTTTTTAGACAAACCCTTCCCGTATCTTACCCTACATGTGGCAAACTGCGGAAATAAAATACAACACAGCGATGCAGCTCATCTTTACAGCAGTTGACTAGGCTGTTGTTATATGATTGTTTGGAAATATTGTGTGTTTACACTTACCGAAAATATGTGTCCAGCCTAATATAGTTAAATATGCCTCAACTTTGGAAAACAATTTCCAATAACTATGACCTTCTGTTGGCATATTTAACATAAAACTTTCCTTGCCTGTAACCAATCTATGTATGTGGAATATTGTACAGGTTACATTTTCCACAATACGACCTCTTGCATGCTATACTTATGCTGTGACGTTAAATGGTCGGCTGTATTTCTTATATTTTAAAATGTATAGATTGACTCATTCAATTATTTGTACGGCCCTATTATATTTTGTAAAACTAAACTATTTAATTTATTGACAGATTGACGTCACCAGATTTGCATTTAGAACGTTATGATAGAAGTATTTGAATTTTTCAAGAATGTAACGGCGCTTTAAGTAGGCAATTTCACTACACATAAGTGTATCTCAGGTTAGTCGTTAGGTATAGGTTTACAATAACTAATAAAACATACTCAGAAATTCTTGATGATTTTTAATCTATTATTTATTAAAATATTTATTCATAGTTTATTTTCTTTTACAATGGTCCATTATTACTATATAACTTCACATTGGCAAAATAAATATTGGCTTTTTAAATTTTTTTAAAACAGCAAGATAAAAATTGAATTTTTAGGAGTATTATCGTTAAATGTACATTAAAACCTTTACACCAACTAATTGATTAACAATTAGTTATTAAATGTGTACTTAACACATGTGTGCGCTTAACTATAAAAATGTTCAATACATATTATTAACTACAGTATATAGTCATTTTTTTTAGTAGATCATTCTTTAACAAATTACTAATACTTATAAAAAAACATTGTATACTAAGATCTATTGTTTTTAGTTCTAAAAAGTAAAAAAAAAAAGGAATACATTTTTGAAGGATTGTGATTTAAATTTGAATAAACAAATATTTAGATTCCAATAAATAATTTTTAAAAATTTTTAATAACTCGAATTTTAACTATTCAAATAGTTCAGATAATTATTCGTAAAAAATATTCCTATCACTGTAAATACAAAATAATTAAAATCAAACCTAGTTTAAAAATCATAATATAATTTAGAAATATATTTAATATTCAAATAATTAGATGATCTTTTTGGGAAACTCTGTAAACACTATAAGGTTATCATTGGATTTATTTTATTTAATAGAGAAACGATGAAAGCAATTCACGCTGCCCTTGATATTAGTTCGCTAACAGGCAACAGAGCGAATGCATTATTGTATAAAATAATAAAATACTGTTCATTTATTTACCAACACTTCAATTAAGTAGAGAAATTCAATGGCTTATATACAATTATAATTATTGTACGTACGTTTTATTTCAATATGTTTATAATATCATTCACCGTTTACTTTAATATTTATTTTAATATTATAGTAGGTATCTGAGCGCAATTTATTTTTAAATCCTTAGTATATGAATCGCTAAATACAGAAAGGGCACATGTACACTATATTTTACAAAAATCACTTTTTTACATTATTAAATTTAATATTGATAAATACATGGTTTTGTGCAAACGGAGCCAAACAAGTCCTATTTTTCGTCCTAAATTTCAATAAAATAAAATTGTTATGACTCATTATCATAAAATAAACAACTGTTTATCAAATTAATGTTATTTTATATTTTGGTAAGAAATAAGCTACTAATTATTTATAAGAAAATGTTATAGGTATTCTTAGTAATTTGAAGCATAAACGGCACATGTTCAAGACCTAAAAATCATTAAGTACCTAGAGTTTTACAATATTTCTGCTAGTGGTTGTAGAACCATCTATATCATGTCTCATACTAAATTATTTAACAACATACAATTTGCAATCAATTTTTTTCACTCATTCATTTTTTTGTCTCTCCTGAAAAATTTTAAAATTTGGACGTGTGCTCATTCTGTAATTAGCGATTCATATATTTAGGTATGTTGATTTAGAGATGACCATAATGAGTATTGAAAACTACATATGTGATGTTTGTATTAACTATTTACTATCAAAGAACTTTAACTTTGTAAGTTTAGATTGAAAGTAACCAGCCGCCCGATCAGCTGATCCTGTGACCTTTATGACATATTGTCGTCGTGTGGTGGTAAGGGGTTGTCTAATTTTTTCTGCCATGACAGAGCCAAGCCGAGGCGGCCGTGCAACGCGCATGGTTAAGTGACATAGGTGTGTTCAAAGAAAAGCGATTGGTTTGAACACAAACGGGTCACCGATTCGCCGCCGCCCGAGAAGTGAGAACACCAGTCAGCAGCAGTCGGCAGCCATTTCGTGGTCATCATTGGACGCGACTTGCCGGCATACCTTTTTTTTTTATTGCTGTGCAGTGTGCACAAAGTTTACCATTTGTATTTTGTACACAAATACGCCAAACGGTAAAACGTTCACATCGATATTATATAACATAATAATTATGCAATAATTTACTAATGACATTATCACGTTATACTTATACGTCATTTGTAATCTGTATTCCGTCCGTATCCGGCGACTATTGTAGGCGTGCGCGCTGCGCTTGCTGTTGTTGTTGGGTTTAATTTAATTTGATAATTTAACGGTTACATTCACGGCTCACACGTGAAATCTGAGCGTACAGCTTCATTAGCCATTACAATAACAGTATATTATTTTATCATCATAGACGTTTTTTTACTGATATATATATATATGTTTTGTTAATCATCGTTGTTGCCGGAAAATTCTTTGGCCGTTAACCGGACAACGCGGCTTTCGTTGTCTTCGGTCCAGTTGGAGTTGCCACCCAGTATTTGTTGTTCGCGCCCCTTGTGCTACATCGCCATTGTTGCTGTGCTTCGACCGTCCGCTGAAACATGTCGTCCAAACCGAAAGATGAAGAGATCAAAATCCCAGAGATAATTGTAGACAACAAGACCAATAAGAGATATCAGAGGGGCAGTTTTTTGGGAAAGGTATGCGTTTAAGATGCCGACGGCGATTACTCTTGCTGAAGCTTTTAAAATAAAACGTTATCAATTTCCTGTGACATAAATTTATAATATTCGAAGTAAAATTCAATTTTAATTTACAGTCAAATCTATAAAAAAATAATATAGACCTTAACATTTAAAGTAAACTGATTACACTTGACAAAATTTTAGATCAAAATACATTTTGTTGGATTTTTTTAATTGGAATATAACAATAATTTGTGTGATCCTAAGCACAATCGTTAAATAATTTCTCATTATATGGGGTAGTTTTATTAATACATACCTACATAACATTTAAATATTCATTATATTAATACTGTACACAGTACAACACAATTTTGGAATAATAATCAAAATCTTTCCATTTTTTTTCAGTAGGTTTATTGACCATTGTTAACAAACTCTTCTCCCTCCTTTTTGATTTGTGTTTTTATTAATGTACAATTTTTATCTTTTTTTAAACAAAACCAATTAAAAAATTCTGGTTTTTTGTTTTGGTTGGTTTACAACTTTTGAGACAATTTAAAAAAGAAATTGACATGATAGAACCAGTAGAAATAATAATAATTTTATTCACTGAGTATATCAAATTTTACAAATACATCCATACAAATTTAATTATAGATAAAGTAATACAATATAAAGTGTAGAAGAGAGAAAAATAAAAATAAGTATATACATGTATGTTTTACTTCAATCTGAAACCAGACTCCATTCAGAACATATAATATAGATTTACCTCCAGATTGTTAAAGTTTTCATTCGATTGATTATATTACACTACAATATTTGTAGTACTTCAAATAATTGTGTGCTCCAGTAAAAACAAAATTGTTTTTTGATAGTGTTTCTATTTTTTAGGGAGGTTTTGCGAAATGCTATGAAATTGTGGACATGCGTACAAAAGAAATATTTGCTGGAAAAATTGTTTCAAAAAAATACCTAGTAAAACACAATCAAAAAGATAAAATGACACAAGAAATTCATATTCACCAAAGGTTAAAACACAAAAATATTGTGTCATTTCACAGTTTTTTTGAAGACTCTGATTTCGTTTATATAGTTTTGGAGCTTTGCCGAAAGAGATCTATGATGGAGTTACACAAGTATGTAATTTTTTTATAAAATTTTTTTTTAAATTTCTATAGATTACTGATGGCATAAACAAGGGTTTGAACCTAATTTTTAACATACTCTATTCTATTATTTTTTTTTTAAATAATACTATTATTTATTATTAATAGGAAATAAATGTTTTTTCTTTTATTATTTTTTAGAAGACGAAAAACTTTAACTGAACCAGAGACTAGGTACTATGTGTGTCAGATACTTGAAGGCACTCTTTTCTTACACAATTTAGGCATTATTCATCGAGACTTAAAACTAGGCAATCTGTTTTTGAATGATGAGATGGAAGTAAAAGTTGGAGATTTTGGTTTAGCCGCTAGAATCGAATATGACGGGCAACGTAAAAAGTATCAACATTTGTAATGGCATTGTGAATATTGAAATTGAATAATAATTCTGTTGTGTAACTCTAGGACGTTATGTGGAACACCAAACTATATTGCGCCAGAAATATTAAGCAAAACAGGGCACAGCTTTGAAGTCGACGTATGGTCCATTGGTTGTATTATGTAAGTATTAATAAATAATAATAGCTTATAATATAGTTAAGACGAATTAAAAAAAAAAAATATATATATATATATACTTTGCTACCACTCTGAATCGTTTTTATTTGTCTAAAAGAAGAAATGTTGAAATTTCAGCCTTTTAGCACATTTTTAAATGGTTATAGAGCCATAATTTCCACGTTGATTAACACATAAAAAAATTATTTCTCATTAAAATTGTCCTAATTTCAAAACACTTTCAAAAATTTCAAGACACTTTGACCTTAAAAATGCTCTACTAGACATTTGATCTTGTTCATTTTTATTGATAGAAAAATTGTAATTAAATTAGAAACAATGGTTAAAAGATACATATTAATACATTTTTAGTCATTGTTTATAGTCGATTGTAAAAAAACTTACTAACTTTAAGTCATTGTAACTAATTAAGAAGCTGTCGTAATGGTAATTTTTTGTGGTAAACGCATTTTTACGCAGACTGCGTAGAACTCACGTAGTTTTGGTTTTAGTGTTAAATACAAAATTAAAAGAGGACAATATTTCAAAGGGCTCCTCAATGGTTTTTTTAAAAAAAAAACTGTTTTTTTGATAAGTTAGTCATTAAAATATGTTGAAACAGTTATTATATCTAAACGCTGTATTGAGTGTTATATTTGGAATAATGGAAAAAACGTATTGAGGTGCCCTCCAGAGAAACCAAAATTAAGCTAGTTGTACTCATTGTCAGTCTGCGTAAATGTTTAGATGAAAAAACATTTTTAAATCGCTTTCAAGGTTGCTGTGATAATCCTAAAAATAAATAACATCAAAAAGAGTCCTAATTACTGAAATAATAATAACACATCTCAGTTTAACCTTAAAAAAAAGATTTTGCCTATACATAACTCCTTAATATTAGGAGGTATGACGTCCACTTAAAAAATGAAGAAAAAACAACAAAAGTCTAAAAGTAATATAAAGGTACAATTTCAACTCTTTATCTTCTTTAAATTAAAATTTTTTTTATAACTTGAAGTCGTGATAATTTTAATGAGAAATATATTTTTAAGTGTTAATTCAATGAAAAATATGGTTCTGTAGGAACCATTTAGTGTTGTCCTAAAATGCTAAAATTTTAAATAATTAATTTTTTCCATGAGTATAAATGTTTCAGGAAGTAGCAAAAATACTTTTTTTTTCTGGGACAGTAATATAGTTAATATAACTATATAACTAATGTAAATATAGTAATGTAGTATTAAATTAATAAACAATGGTGGTTTATTCAACTGAGGGTTTGTTATGTTTAAGGTATACACTTTTGGTAGGGAAACCACCATTTGAAACAAGTTCGCTTAAAGAAACATATGCGAGAATAACGCGGTGTGATTACAATGTACCCTCTCATGTAAACAAAAGTGCCAGTATTCTAATCAGCAAAATGCTACAATCGGATCCAAAAAAACGTCCATCAGTGTCCGATATAATGAAAGCTGATTTTTTCACCACTGGTTATATGCCAAAAAGGTTGCCACCGTCCTGCTTAACTATGGCGCCACGTTTCGATTCAATCAACTACAGAGAGTCGATATCTAATCGCAGGCCACTTAACGGTAAGTTATTATTACCATGTTGTTTTTATGATTTATGTTTTATTAGTTAAATCTTGATCTAATACGATTTTACTTCTAATTTTAGAAATATTCTTTACTGAACAATTTTTTTCCTAATTTTTAATGAACAAACATTTTGTGCGGATCGCAACTGATTTTGAAGTTATATATTTTAAGTTTGCAGCAAGCCAAGAGCGTAAATCTAGTTGAAAAAAAAAATTACTAAATTACCAAATTAGTTCTCTAAGGCTGTTATTAGTAAAATCCTTGAAGTATTTAATAGGTGTGAAAAAAATAAGGTCATGGAGTGGGGGACTTTTTAGCAGTAATCTCTTTAGTGAATTTGGTGGGGAGATAGCATTACAATAACCTGATATATTTAAGCCATGTTTTTTTCTAGGCGAAGAAATAAATAAAAAAATTATACAGGGTGGGCCAGAGAAACGGTAAAATTTGAAAGTTTTATTGGCAGCCCTGAGGAGCTTGTAGAAAGGCAATAGTGTTAATGTTATGTTCACAGGTAACTGACATTTAGTAATCATGGGTCGGTTCATGAGTCTTTATTAACAGGCTGTCAACAAAATTGGGGTTGCAATTAATTTTTTCCATAATTTTCTGCTTTTTTTCGTCGCGGGCTCTTTTCAAACAACGTCCGAACTGCTTCAATGTTCTGAGGGGTTCATTGAGTAAGTTGAGCTCTTTGTGGTTTCTTTTTGAGAGCTGAAGTTATCTCCTCAAAATTCTAAACCCAAGTCTTGATGGCGTTGCATGATTGTTATGGTTGTGCTCTATCATGCAACGCCATCAAGACTTGGGCTTAGAATTTTGAGAACACAACCATGACGTCCCAATTTGTTATGACATCAAAATTCCCTGCGAGTGGCAGTCAGACTATCACCTTTCTTCAAGCTCCTCGGGGCTGCCGCTAAAACTTCCAAATTTTCCCGTTTCTCTGGCCCACCTTGTATTTTACTTTATCATTTATTATATGATTATTATGACAAAATTATTTGTTGTAATTATTTAAATTGTTATTATGTGTTATTTTAAATGAATCTTATTAAATTTCTATCACTTTTCTAAGTATTATTTATAGTTGGGTTAAAAGATGGTTCAACATTGATTTCATTTTTTTAATAAAGAATTAATATTAAATAAAGTTATAAATAATGAATAAAATTTGTAATTTGTTTAAGATAAAACAAATTATGTAAGCTGTCGGATTTATTAGATTTCTACAACAATACTTTAAAAGTACATTTTTAATATCTTATTTGTTAATTTGTTTGGTACCAAAACTTTTAGAACTTAACAGTCCAAAAGCTGTTGTCACGAAAGCTGCATCTAAACCTCAAGACTCTTCCAAAGTTCCTCCATTTAACCTACCAAACAGAGTGATTGATGGAAACGGTGTGTCCGTAAGTGAGTGTAAAGAACATATGTTGTCGTTAGAAAGAGAATTGGAAAAATTACTGAAGACTAATCTTGCTAAGAAAGGAATGATAAATATGGGTTAATATTTTATTTTTAATAATTTAAATAATATTGCGCATCCGAAATACTGAGAGTATTATTTTTTTCTCTTATTAAATACACATATTTTAGAGGAGGGCACGGATCCAGCTGCACAACCTCTTGTATGGGTGAGTAAATGGGTTGATTACTCAGATAAATATGGATTTGGTTATGAGCTGTCTGATGATTGCGTGGGCGTCATGTTCAATGATTTCACTCGTATTGTGCTCCTAGCAAATTTTAAGTAATACCAAAATCATGATTGTAAATAAATAACTAGTTATTCAAATTTTTTTACTTGATACTATTTCAGAGATGTTCACTACATAGAGAGAAACGGTTCTGAACAATACTACACCATTGATCACACGCCTCAGACTTTGGAAAAAAAAATTAAATTACTCATGTACTTCAGGCGATATATGAACGATCACTTGATCAAGGCTGGGGCAGATATATTGGCAAAAGACGCTGATCAGTTAAGCCGTACTCCATACATGTATCAATGGTTTAGATCGACTACATCGGTTATCATGCAGCTTACGAATGGTACATTACAGGTAAAGTCAAAAATTGTGTTAAAAATAACTTTTTATTTTTTGGTTACAATTTTATTTTATTTTTTAGATCAATTTCACAGATCACAGTAAAGTCATACTGTGTCCTATGATGAATGCTGTTACATTCATCGAAAACAATATATTTCGCACGTATCGTTTTATTACGATTGCAGAAAACGGTTGCAGTCTAGAATTAGCCAAATGTTTGGAGTACGCTTACAAAAAAATTGTTTCTATTATTAGGGAAAGCAAGTAATCTTATTTTTCATTGTTCATTTTGTTGTTGTATAAGAAGTTGGACTGATTATTATTTATATTTACAAGACAATATTAGAGAATAATACCCGAGTATTGGGGTGCTACAATGTTAAGCTGTAATAATAGTGTTCTAATGTAATAATTCTTCTGATGTTGTTCATTTTGAATGAGTAAATAATTCATATAATTTAAAAAAAAAATCAAATTCATATAAATATAATTCTTTTTTTTTATCAATTTATGTTAAAAAAAGGTATCAATTTCCTAGTCCTAGAAAAGAAATGTTTACTGTAATTATTAAACTTGTATTACTTTATAATATTCTGTAGTTGATTTGTTATTTAATTTTTAAAATATGAAAATGACTCAAGTATATATTCAGATGGGTGTTTTTCAACGTCCCGAGTGTTCAGGTTGTATATATAAAAAATAAAGTAAAGAATAGAGAAATTAAGTCAATGGACAAATCAAAAAAACCGGTGGACCTTAATTTTCAAACTTTGCAATACACCAGTTTTTAGTAAGTGCTGTCGAGTTTGGCAATTTTTCACTGAATTTTTATTTAAAACTAAAATTAACTTAAGTCAGCAGTTTGTGGTGTTGGTAACAAATCATGATATACTATTAGCCACTATTATGTGAATTTTATTGTGATTAGGGTTGATTATTATTAAATATATTATTTAATTAATTAAAAAAAAAAGTTTATTAGTATAGTTATTCTTGTTTTATTGTCATATTTTTCTTGAATATTGGTCTTTCTCATAAACTATCCTATTTTGTCTGTAGTTATAGAATCTTAGTATTGTGGTGACACTTAAATATATTGGTATTTTATCACAATTAATTAACTACAAAACTATAAACTTATTATATAGAATTGATACACAATGTTATTTTGAGTTTTAATAAGCATGGTATAATTGTAAGTAAAGTGATTAAATACAGAAAAAATTGGATTTAAATAGACAACTGGAAATGATTATGTTTGAGGTATCACTAAAAATCGTTATTACTGTAATATTATTTTTTAGTGTTCTCAAGTTCAAACTCGTTTTACAATCACAAAAACAAAATACGACGATTTAAAAGTAAACTGGTTAGAATACTATATGTCTTGGTTATTTATTTTCGATGATAATCTAAGAAGAACAATAAAAAAGTTATTTATTCGGTGATGAAATATTGGAGAAGAACAAAATAGTTCATTTGATGATGCGGTAAAACTAAAAGAATATTCAATATTAATTTTATAATTGTAACTATCTGAACAAATGATAAAGTTCTGGAACAATTGCTGTAATTTTGTTCGAATTATTGGTAAATAGGTGTACTATAAATACTTTTTTACGTTTGTCTATATTTTTATTTCTAAGTTTGTTACATATTATAGTTATTTAAAATATGCAGCTTGAAATTTACATGAATTTGGTAAATTGGTCAATAATAATAAAAATAAATAAAAGCTTCGCATCAAAGCCAAAATGTGTATTAAGACAAAGATATTTTTATTGTTATTGACTTATTAGTACTGGTTATATATTTATCAAATTTCAAAATTTTAAATAATATAAAAACCTAAACACATTCAATTTTTATACTAGCTTTTTAACAAATTCATAAAAAAAAGAGTAAATAAATTGAAACTCAATATTCTTTTCGTGGCGGGGTTTGAGCTGTGAGAAAAAAAATATATACATTGTTGCTGAAATACGTATACGCAGTGTATTATTTTATGATCAAGGGTTTTAAATAATAATTTTATATTAAATATATACATTATATTAGGCAGTTTAAATTTGTTGTTTCTAACCGCCTTCTGCCCCCCCCCCTCAATATTAGTAGTAGCCTATTTGAATAAGAAATACATACAATTTCATCTACCTAACTTAACTTTACTAAGTACTTCCTCGTGAATTATTTTTTACATTCTATTAACAAGGGAAATTCAATTTTTTTCAATTAACTATCTGATCTTGAAACTAATCAAAATATTTACAATTTAATAAAAATAATTTTCAAGTGTCATAAGATGGCTTTAAGAACCGTTTTTTAAATCTAAAAAGTGTTGTTTAGTTGAATCTGTAAGATGTGTTAGTTATAATTGTTTTATGAAGAAGTAGGTACTTCTTGAGTTGAGCTAGGGGTCTGAAATTGTACCAAAAAATTGCTCATTTGAATAGTCTACTACTAATTGAAAGGTAAATTGTAGAAAAACAAACAATAAATAAAACAGTAATATATTTATGTGGGTAAATAGATTTGGGATAGTTGTAGTTCTTAAATGTTTTAGTTGTATTGTGTATAATATTTTAGTTGTAAGCCACAAACCTAATGTATAAAATCATAGCCCACAAGTTTTGTTTTTTCGTTTTAGTGTGTGCATCTATTATTATTATAGTTTAATATGTTAAAAGGTGATTTATTAACAAAGTCATAAGTCGACAATATTCTCCAATCAGACATCATATTTTGGGTGTCTTTGCACAGATGTTTCGATATATTCTTTTGTAACTCCTATAGGTAGGTATTGTTTGAATATTCATGCAACAAAATATACTTTCATTTTAACTAAAACTACTTGGAAAAATTTCATGGGCCCAACGATTTTAATATATACTGGGTCTGTAATTTGTACACGTCGTCTTTTAGTTTAATAATTATTTTACGACTATAGGTTCGTGTTATAAAATGTAAAACATTTTTGTATTACACATAAATGTAATATTGTATCCGCTTAGCTTAGCACAATAGGGCGAGGGGGTATCGCACGTCTATATGAGTTATTACAAGTACATAAAACCAAGTATATTAAATTTTTAATAAAATACCGTGTATAAATTACATAGGTAAAATAATTTTAACACGTGTCGTGTATCTCGCAAATGCCTTAATAGCACTGACAGAGTATATACTGTTAAAAAATTAATATTATAAAAAATGTGTTCGTCGATGTTGCTATTTAGTAAACACACATATTTTGTTGAAATTCGAAAAAAAACATCGAAGTATATTATGGACGTAGGGGTCAAAGGGGTTCAGGAATAAATAATTTTATTTGAAAGTGATAAAATTATTTTTAAATAAACGGTTCGTTGTGAAACTGTGGATACAAATTACTAAATATTCAATATAAACATTTTATATTATCCTGTATTTCTACAATAAAAAAGTGCTGCGATATATTTGGGGGTTTGGTGAAATGTAAATTTGAGGTTATTGTGGGATATTAAATATTGTTTTAGGTTTTGGCGGTGAAGGACTGATTTTGTTTTAACATTGTATTGAACGTGATCGTATTTTATACTCATAATAATTGGCTGTAACATGACAAATTAGGTTATTTTTTAAGAAAATATTAAAAGATTCGGTTCGGTGTAATATCAAATAATTTTGTCTATTTAGAATATTCAATTTATAAATACATACAAAATAATTAAAATTTTAATTGTAACATAACCATTTTATGAAGTTTTTAAACAAAGAATAATTTGCAGAAAATGTGGAGCTATTTTCAACAATTGATATTTGATACTTTTTTGGTATTTTTTACTTAGAGTAACGTTTGTGGAAAATAGTGAAATTATTTTAAACAGTCGAACTATCGGTGGAATTTGTTGACAGATATTAAACTATATCTTTGACAATCTTTATCGATACATCTGCGATGGCTGACGATACACAAATAAAAAATTGTACGTCTTGGTAGCTTAACACTACAAAATATATATACCGGGTGAATTGTCAGACTTAGTACCTACATTTTTTATGTAATTTAATAAGAGTTGTAGCATTAAATAATTTCGATAAAAATGTTACCGGTATTCTATATAAAAATCGATATCGGAAAAAAATATTATCGGTATTGTAAATTTTAACCAAATTCAAAAAGATAGGAAACCGGTATTGCAAGTGTAACTTAATACCAGAAAATTCAATAATTGAAATTTCAAAAACATAAAACATATTCTTTCTTTCATTCTTACTTTCTTTCTGGCAATATAACAAACTAATTTGTTAACAGTAAATCAAAACCAATTAGAAAAAAATTAAAACTTAGGCGACAAAAGTTGCGAGTTGAGGATTACTTTAAGGGGACACTAAGATTATGGCCTTGTATAGTCTATCAGCCCTAATGACATGACTTTTTTTAGTCTTTAAGAAAAATCACTTTTAAATAAACGCTTTGATGCTTATTTGTGAATACAGCACCTCAATTAAATACTTTTTTACTAGCTGGTTTACACTGCGCTTGGTTTGGACTGTACTGGCTTGAAAATACTAACTACTGATTTACATCGAAGCGTTTATTCGAAAGTGATTTTAACACTTTCAGATTTAAAAATTCCTGTAAACCTGTGAGCTCTCCGTCCTCTTTATGCCCCGACTCCACTGTACTGTTTTTTATTTACTTCAATTATAATATTGCCAGCTTTGTACAATTGTACATAAAACAGTAACCACGATAAAATGTATATTATGTTATATGTATAATAATTATTTACAAATTCCAACTCTATAATTGGGGAAGTAATAAGCCCTAATAAGTTCTTTCTTTTATTTACAATAGTTGTGAGTATGTTACTCAAAATTAAATTAACAAAATATATATTAAATTGACTTCATACAAGAAAAAAAACTCTACGGTTCGTATAAAAATAAAAATAAATTATTTTTTATCTTTAACAAAGAGTTGCCAATTAAAATATATGCAATCACCAGTAAAATTAACCTAATAATAGTAGACGTCGTAATTAAAACGTAATTATGAGGTTTATTACTTTTTTTAATATGTCAACAGCAACATTTCAAATCAAATTCAAATAATAATAATATGTATGAATGCTTAAACAACATATAAGTTGAAATGTATTTCAAGTATATTTATCAACACAAGAATTTCCTTATTTTATACTAGTATACAACTACTAAGTTATTTTTATTGTGTTGCCTTCATCTAGTATGTTTCTATAAATGTGCATAGAATAGGTACCATGGGATTTCACAAAATATTTATAGTTCACTGTGAGTGCGTTTCATACGGTTACAAAGTTTATTTCGTTAATACTCTAAGGTTTACTATGGCCGAGTGCATTGAAACCAATCACTGTAATCCATCACTGATCTTAAATAATTATCGAGTTTCGAGTTGGATCAAAAAATAAATCAGATGGTGCAACTCGTTGACGGTGTATAACCTAATACTGCAGGGCAAAAGTGTATACTGAAAACAATATGGTTCTCCAAGATATTCGCAATAAT